GCAATGAGTTATGAGCCAGACTTTATGTGTAAAAGGCTACAGATATTAGATAGATGGATAGTCTGTTAGTCAGAATTTAAGTTGTACAAAAATCGACTTCATCCGCAAATCAAATTGCAACTCTACGCATCGTCATTTCAGGACAAAGCATAGAATGGCAATCAAACCTCTCTATCTACCTGGCGACTTGAACTGTCGCACATTCGTGCAAAGTTCTATGTCGAAGACAGACAGACAGACAGATCTACCTAAACTTCATCGACTTCGAAAAGGCCTTCGACATACGGCGTCGACCGCCAATTAATTTGGGAACTACTTAAAAACTACGGTGTGCACTGACCAAGTCTTTATCAATGCATTCAACAGCTGACTCTGTATGGCAATGCCACGTGTCAGGTGATCCACAATGGAGAACTCAGCGAGGCTTTTGAAGTGAGGGAACTAGTAAGACAAGGTTGATTATTATCCGCCCACCATGATATTCCCAATTGTAGTGGACTGGATTATGCAGCAGACTGTTCACATGGAATGAGTAGACGTGTATACGTTGAATGGATAAGAAGACTCTAGAAGATCTCGGACTTCGTGGACGACTTGAATCTGATGTCACACGGGCGAAAACTAACAAGTTGTCAGAACAAGCAGACAACAAAAAATACAAGACTTCAAGTGAACATACAGAAGGCAGAGGTGATGAAGATAATCAAAGAAACAAAAGCAACAACAAGCACCGATCGCTATCAGTGTGAGGAATTCGAAGGCAGTCCCTAGTCTTGTTTCAAGTATAGGAGGTACGGGTGAAGATCTCAAGGTCTTTTATCGATATCTACCTTCTCTCCATACTGAAGATCAGATAACAGACCATAAAGGATTGGCAACAAAGAACTATGGGAACGAATCAGCCAACAACCCACAGGGCAACATATATGGCGAAGAGAATGGAGATGGATTGAACAAACGCTGAGGAGAGGGTTGAGGAACACCATATTCCATCCTTTGGAGTGAAACACCAATGGGAAACGAAATGTTGGACGTGGATCCGAGGGTCAAGAGATCGTGTGAAGAGGAGGTGAGGGTCAATGGACAATTGTGGATCCAGAGAAATATAATTGCAAAGAACATAATGAAGTGGAATTGTGCTGTTGAAAACCTATGTTCCGCTAAGAACTTAATGGATTAGCAATAATAACAATAAATTAATCAGATAACCAACCAATCATTTTTCAGGAGACTGGTAGACGTCTACACATGAATCACTTAACAGCCAATCAGATTCCAGCATGTTCATTACAGCTGACTAATCGGCTCACTGCTGCATTGCAGCATATATTAAGTCCATGATACTTTTTTGTAGGAAAATACATTCCCATCGACTCACTTGTGTGGAAATACGCCTATCGAAAATGTGCGTAAGTTTTCTTGAAATTACCGATTTGCGCCATGAAAAATCGAATAGGTTACAGGAAACACGATTGATTAAAGTGTTTTGTATTATGTGTTTGAGCAGCGAAACACAAAGGTGAGACTAAAATGTGTAAAACTGACAGTAATCGGTATAGATATATAGTTCCTATTTTGCAACACTAAACTCAGCCTTTTAAAAAATCGAAGATATAGAACATTTTGAAATGACATACTGAAAAAAAGCTCAGTGGCAAAAAATACGCTCAGGCATTAAACAACTAGGAAAAAAAAGGACAATTCAGCGAAGAAAATTTTCTTTATCGACGAAATCATCTTCAGAGGCACTGCGCAGTCGTATTTACATTTACTAGAAATGTATAGGAGACTATTTATTGAGTAGTGGGGGGTGACATGATTGATATAATTACTCAGAAGTAGCTATAGAAGTAAAAAAAATAAAAGTTATAAATCACTCAATGGCACAAAGGAAGAAATGGTAAGATATCTTGACAAGGTTAAAATTCCTATTGATCGAGTGAGAATAAAGGTGGTAGTTGAGTGTCAGTTAAACAAGTGTGAAGAAAGCGTGAAAATATACAAAAGGAACATACGGAAAGAGGGCAAAGTACACGAGGATTGGAAGAAAGGATACTTATTCAAACTACCAAAAATAGGAGACTTAAATCAATGCAAAAACTGGCGCGAAATTATGCTCCTGTCCATTCCAAGCAAAATACTAAGCCGCATCATCCTGGAGAGAATCAAACACGCCTACCTGGATGAAAAACTTCGACCGAAACAAGCTGGATTCAGGAGAACAAGTCATGTATTGATCAAATCGCCACACTACGGATAATCGTTGAACAAAGCTTGGAATGGCAGTCACCTCTCCACCTCACTCAAATTCATCGACTCTGAAAAGGCCTTCACCTGACAGCATCGATCGAGAGGTCATTTGGAAACTACTCCGCTAATACAGGGTGTCATCGCTAATTATACATCTCATCCAACAGTTATACGACAATGCTGCATGCCAAGTAATCCACAACGGGAAACTTACGGAAGCCTTCGAAGTGAGGACGGGAGTGAGGTAAGGCTGTGTACTATCGCCAATGATCTTCTGATTGCAGTAGATTGGATAATGAGACAGACAACGGTAACCAACGAGGGAACAGGCATAAAATGGACTCACACAAAAAACTTGGAGGGTCTGGACTTCGCCCGTCGATGATATATGTCTGATTTCCCACAAACTGGAAGATATGCAAGTGAAAAGCAACAAGCTGGGAGAAAAAGCATCAAAGATAGGGCTTCGTTCAGGTGAACATAGATAAAACAGAGGTGATGAAGATTCCTGGCCAACACCAACAGACAACAATCAGCATGAATGGGAGGAAGCTGAAAGAAGCAACCTCCTTTACCTACCTACCTAGGAAGCATCGTTTCAACTACAGGCGGAGCTGACGATGATATCTAAGCCACAATCGGAAAAGCAAGACAAGCTTTCATTTCTCTCAAGTCTATGTGGAAGTCAACAGCACTGATCAAAAATAAGATCCGAATTTTCAACTCCAATATGATGTCAGTCAGTGCTACTACACGTATGGATCAGAGACTTGCACTGCGCGTCATAAAAAGCATCTCAAACAAACTTCAGACCTTTCATTAACAGTTGTCTTCGCTCAATACCCAAGATCAGATGGTCAGCCAGAAAAGACCAGCAACACAGATCTCTGGCAGTGAGGGAACCAACCAGGAACCGATTGTGAAACAAATAGGCAGGAAGAAATGTAAGGGGATTGGCCATACTCTGAGGACACCATCAAGTGACATCACTAGACAAGCCATCGCTCCAGTGGAACCCGAAAGGGAAGCGGCGAGTTTGTCTTCAGGGCAAGAGTGACTTGGAAAAGGTCATGTGAAGAGGAGATGAAAGCATGTGGGCAGACTTGGAGCGGAGTGAAAAAGTTGTCAGAAAACCGAAGGCAATGGAGACGCGCGGCTGAAGCCCTATGTTCCTCTAGGAATTAGAGGATATAATAATAATAATAATAAATAATAGTGAATTATTTATTAAAGTGAAAACAAACTAAATGTGAAATTGAAAATGAAAAAAAAAATAATTTTTTGACAAGGAACGGCTAGTAAAGAGGTTATGATCATGGCAGAATAAGAGACTGGACAAACTTTTTCTGTTTATAGAGTTCGGGGTTGTATTGACGAACTGTCAACCCACCTAACCCGCCCCAGCATTGCTCAATAATAGACTACTATACACTTTCGGTAAATGTAAGTACGACTGCACAGCTCCTTTAAAGATGATCTTGTGGATAAAGCAGAAATTTTCTTCGCTAACTTATCTTTTATTTTCTTCATATGACTCAACGGATATTTACGGTGAATTAAACAATGAAGAGGTACGTCGATGGTATAGCGGTTAGGACGCTCGCTGACCATGCACGTGGTCTGGGGTTCGATCCCCGGCCGACGCCGCACTCCTTTAACTCGCTAGGCCACAAATAGTGCTGGTAGAGAGGAAAGGTTGGGCATGAGGCTGGTTAGCAACTTCATCCTGTAAAATAAATACTACTGCTATAGAAACTTCAAGCCACTATAGCTTGAAACCCTTTGTTCCACTGGGGAATGTGAAGGAAAATTTAAAAGAAACAATGAAGAGAGAGATTACAAAACAAAACAATAAACAAAACGACACACTTGATTAAAAAACGTTTTAGTTTTTATTCACATTATTTCATTTACTATACACAAGTCCTGGATACGCACACCCACACACACACACACGTGTACACACTAACCTTACCATTAACAGAAAAAAACAGGGGGACTGAACATAGAAGTGTGTGAAGTGAAGGAGAGTGCTACAGAAAGAGAAGTGACATTAATTATCATCACCATCACCATCATCTCTTAGGTCTAGGCAACACTCACAACTGTGAAAGCAGGTCATTATTCCGAGTAAAGTGGTGATAATTATAATGAAGTTGAAGGGATTTTTACAATAAACAAAGGTAGCGAAGGGAATAAAATATAGTACAATTATGAATACATAACTGACAAAAATCTAGGTCATAGGTCATCTGGTTAGCGAGTTCATGAATATAGACATTCTGTATAGGGGATAAAAACAAACCAATACGGCACCCTCTGATGAAAGTATTGATTGAAACTGAAAATACTAACGATAGTAATAATAATATTAATACGCGCATAACTCGAAATTAAGGTATACAATCCGATTAAGTTGTCTACACACATTGTTGATATAGACTTCTTTTACACAAATACGCGGAGTATAATCTGTTTGTAATAGGGGAGAGAGAAATAAGTATGATTACATACAATAAATAATTATGCAGGAAAGAACTGATGATTCTGATTGTTCCATTTCGCTTGAATGAGCCAATCGAATTAAAGAAGAGGGAAGGAAAAACAGGTAGGTAAGTAAAATTCAAATCTTCGAAATCAGATAGTCATGTAGTGTTCGTCAGTGAGCAGTGAGTAAGTAGTAGACTCACTAGGGGTAAAAGACAGAAGGAAGAGAAAAACTAACAAAAGGAAATGCACATGGTACATATTCACACGTATAGATAGATACAATAAACAAAAATAACTTGTAAAACTGCATCACTGATATTATTTACAGGTGAACTGTGAATAGGTAAATAATCAAAAATGAGCACTGAACAGGAGAGAATTTCATCTGATGAGGAAATTTTGAATTGGATTTCTTCTGTACAAAACAAGTTGAATACATCACTAACAACCACCGCCGCCGCCAACAATAATAACTCATAACAAGTACTTCTATTAACGCAAAAGTATGTCCATATCTGTAAATCGGTAGTGCAGTCGTAAAGTCGATAATTTGGAGAATTGCAAATACTAAACAAAACAAAAAAGACATCGAATTGTAAGTTAGTTATTAAGTAATTGTATGAAATCTTATAAATTATTCATCCATCAGCAATAAAAGTGTAAGATAGGACAAAGAAATGATCACTTTGTGGTGACAGCTGGCTGCTAGCCAAATTGGTACACAGAAATTCACGTAAATGTTTATGTCCCAAAGAGATGAAAGATTAACTTTCAGTGAGAAACAACCAATCAGAAGACTGTGTTTGTCTACTAACAATAATCTATAATAATGTACATGAAAATGTATAAATATGTGTTGATTTCCTTAAATAAACGATCTGTTTGGTTGGCCCTTGTCTTCTGTTGTTACAGCTTCACCTGCTACATTGTATAAGAAGCTGGACGAAGTTAGGCTCTGATTGCACCCCTAGGTAGTAATTAGTGTCATATGTCTAGTCCTTGGTGTTGGAACAAATTGAATTCTATTGTCAGTCAAGTTTGCAATGTGATCATCACTGTGCACTCTGGATTTTTGTTATTAAATGGTTGGAGGCAATCGGTAGGAAGTCCTGTTTCACACTTCTTGGAGCTCGCCAGTCAACAAGACGTATCTACAACCTGGGAGTTACACCAACTAAGATAGTTAGCACATGTGTTACGCATGCCAAGTAATTACATTCCTCGACGGGTAATGTTAGATGACATAGAATCATGTTGTAAAAGAGCTAGTGGTGTTCAAACCAAAATTTCAAATCAGTCCATTAAAACCTTGATAAGTTATAGCATTTCATCCTGATCAGAAATCGGTTAGAAAACCACTGGGAAACCTGGGAGTACTCGACAACTGTTTTGTCCTAGTTTGGGAATTTTCTTCAGCACGCATCCATCGAGGTTCGAACTCAGGACCTCGTGGTCACAAGGGGAGCTTGTAGACCCAATCCAATGAACAGCCCGTGACTTCCAACTTCTCCCAATTCACGACATAGCGTGACCACTAGCCAGTGTTTTCGATGTACTTGTGTTCTCTGAGCTGGATGGTTTATTCGCACATATAAACCAATATTGTTTCTGTCCCACAAACAACGCCGTCTTATCTCTATTTCCTTGTTTTATTGGAAGTTGCCAGTACTCTGATCGCAGCTCTAAGACTGCGAACAGCTTCACACTTTGTAAGTGATCTTAAGATTCTGCTATGGCTGGCATAGCACACGGTCTCACCTCTGTTATGCTGTTCAGCTGTTAGAAATCAACACAAAATATGCATTTCCTAATGCTTTTATTCACTAATAGCACTGAAGAACTATATGGGTTATCGGCTTCTTTAACAATGTCATCCTCAAACATCTCTTCAACCTGTCTTCCAATCTCGCTTTCTAAATGACAACGAGCTCTTCGAGTTATGAATGGTCTCACTCTCCCACTCATAAATGGAATTTCCTCCCTCACCTTTTCGCAGTAACGTACAGATCCCCATCTCCAGTGAAAAGATGGTCGTATTTAATAAGTAACGTTCTTACACTTAGAACTCTCGACGCTACTATCCCTGCTACCTACCTCACTATTTCCGTGCATGCTGAAACGCCCATACTTCATAACAACAACCCTTTACTCCACGTTATTTAACATTGGATCTACTTCTTACAAAAAGTCTTTCCCAAGGATTGTTCGGCGCTACTCACGTACAATCACGAATGGAAACGTCACGTTATACTCTCCAATACTACCACTGCAGTCTGACAATGAGCTCTTGTCTACGAGTGAGACTGCTGCCACTGTGTCAATTAAACACACCAACTCGGGATCATTTACGCACAACTTCTAGTCTCGAAGAACAGTAATAAGACACAGTATACCTTTGAAAACCTTTCGTCTGTCGTCTATCCGGCAAACAGCTTTTCCAGTGACCCAGTTTCCCTCATGCAAAACATCGGTCTCTCCTCAAGTTCATTCTCAAAGGGCGACCAATTCACGCTGCAACTCTTCAATTTGTTGCTCACACTGATTGGCTTTTGGTGGCTCTGTCGCGACAACCGTCTTGCTCAACAGTCGACTGGTCACCTATACGAGCCCCCCCAATGTCCAGTGATTGTATGGCGTGAATCCGATGTAGCTGTTACGATATGTGTTCTGGGACACTTTCAATAAACTGAGACACCAATATTTGTGCTTCAGAATCTTCGTCCAGTGTTGTCAGAGAGCGGCGTAGTAGGTTTGTCAGGGTCAGCGCCAATAGAAGAAGGTTACCTTCAACTCCCAGCTTCGTGGTACGAAAATGTTGTATCAGCCGCTCTGTCTATCGGGCTATCAAACGCCTCCTTCAATCGTTCAACTGCTAACTTCCAAGTTGCTTGTCCTTCTGTTCGCTTCACACTATCATATGCTGTCTTCGCCTGACACTCTCAACAGCCTTCTAAGTAAAAGCCTATTCGCTGACAGATCTTGAGCACCATTCGTCTCCGAAACAGCCTCGAAGTCCTTCAAGAAGCTCTATAAGTCTCTTTTTACAAAAACTGCAGGACATGGGATATTCATTTCTCGAAAGGTAGCGACATCAAATGTAACAATAGAAGGCAAGATATGGAAGCCAAAATAATTTTTTCATTGATCAAACCGCTGTTTATTTATCTACAGTTTATATTCGTTAACCAATCAATCAATGAGAGTGTGATTTCGGTTTTAATTAAACGACATGCAATAGAATGTTCAAATAGATATATCGTATTCTGTTGATACTTCCAAAGTGAACTGTGGAAATATGTGAGAATAATATTCCATTGGAATAGATTTTGTGTATCATATCACCACAATACTACTACCTTATTATCTTTCTCCCATAATAAGACTATAGTGCTATCCACTACTTATAAGTCTTAATTATTACCCCATCGGCGCTCTCTTCCGTACTTTCCTTTTAACATGCTTACATCACTAAATCTTCGCTATCTAGGCGGCAAGTTGACTAAGTCAATCAGTTATTACGGTGAAATATTATAAAACGGTGACATATTATTAAACAAGAATTAAACAGTAAGATTTCGAAAACTTAATAGATTTCTTAATGACTTTTTCTGTTGGAATTTGTATATAATATAATTGAAAATTGATTATTGAAACTCGACGACTTAGTATGAAAGAGAAAAGAACAAGAAGCTCAGGAAAGATCCTTTTTCGGTGAATTCATCTTCAAAAGCAATAGAATAACAGTTCACACTGACTGACCGATTTCAAGGTAGAACTTTGCACAGATGTGCAGCAGTTCGAGTTGCCACTCTCCCTCCTTGTAGCACATAGATCAAGAGAAGAGAGTAAAGGGGGTGGGTTCAAAAAGCAGATAAAAAACAGAAGTGTAATTGGGGGAAAAAGAATAGTAATATGGAAGGACAACAGAGTTTTATTTGATACGAAAAACCACAGAGTGAATGCATCTGTGCCAGTCATTGACGCAACTAGGCTTTTGAACCATACCAACAATTGTCTCCAGCCTTCTTTGGTTCTCACTATCCTGAAGACCCCAACCAGGAGGCCAGTCTACACCTGCCTTCGTGACTGGCTTAAACTAATTATCAAGGTTATAATGGAGGGATTTGAAGTTTTGGTTTGACCACCACTAGTTCTTTTCCAACAGGATCCTATATCAGCTAACATCGCCTGCTGAGGAAGGCGATAGCTTGGTGTGCGCAATACGTGTCCTAACCATCTAAATCGGTGTAACTTCCCAACCTCGTCGATTGATTTTCCCTCCTTATCTGACACTCGACACCTAACGCTAACACTATTCACTCTATTATACCACCCTAACATGGGAGACAGAAGACAGACGCCTATGATCAAAGACAGCTGGCCTTTTAGTTTCTTCTACTTTCAGTGGATATGTCTCACAGTCATAAAAGAAAGATAGAACAAACTAGTGAGCAATTCACACGTCCTTTAATTCGTAGCCGGATATCACGTCTACGTCAGAGATGGAGTAAGTTGACACAATTACAATTACCACCTAATTCAACCTAGTAACGAAGAAAAACAGAAGAAGATAATAATTTTCAACTTGATAGAAAAGTTTGAAGCTGTGATGAAAGATGAATATACAACCTCTTTCGTTACTAGGTTGAATTAAGTAGTAATTATAATTATGTGAACTTATGCATAAAAATACGGTTGTCCACCCTTCAAAGATGAAACCGCCAAAAAGTGAGCTGAGCTTCTCCTTCTTCTTTTCTCACAAATCTAATCAATAGTTTCCATGATTTCAAAATTAGCATCAAATTGCTTTACAGTGTATAATTATTTCTTTTTTTTTTAAAGTGTAACTTACCAATTTAACAAAACACTTGTCTATGATTTTTTTTTCAATGTAATCCTCTCCGGGAATTAGCTGCTGAGTGATTATAATAAGCTGTATTCGATAAATCAGAAGATTTCATTGGATGAGAATTATACGGAGGTATTTCCCTGGTAGAAGATGGACTCTGTTTAGAAGGGAAAGATGAAAAGGCATAAAAGTATAAATAATAAGCTTTATTAAATGCATCACCACGAAATGGGCCGGTGGTATAGCGGTAGAATGCTCGCCAATCACTCACTCAGATGGTTCAGGGTTCGATCCCCAGTGGAAACACTCGTAAACATCGCTAAGCTAGCTAGTTGGTAGTCACACCGGGTGAAGTAGGGACGTTTGTCATGAGACTAACAACCTCACACAGTAAAAATAAAACTACTGTTATCGAAACTTCAGAAATCTATCTCGAAGCCTGTGTGCCTTACTCAGAACGTAAAAGGATAAAATAAAGTACACCACAGTAGGCGACTATAATGAAGGTGGTTTTTTTTAACCAAAAAACAACATGTATACTGCTGTAAAACTCAGTTAAATATATATTTGTTGGTATAAGTCAGCCTGGTCAAAAAATAACACAAAGAGTGGAAATAGACATGTGGTGAGAGCTGCCTGTTAGCCAAAATTGGCGGACAGTAATTTACGTCAATGTTTATAATAATAATAATAATAATCACTTTATTCCACAATATTGGTCGTGAGAAAAATGAGAACAAAGGCTTTGCGTAGGCGGATACAGTTAGCAGATAGATAATCTGACATTCAAGAAACAGCCACAAAGAGATGCAAGGTGAACTTTCTGTGAGAGAAAACTGTGTTTTTCTGCTAACAATAATCTATAATAATGTACATGAAAATGTATACATATGTGTTGATTTCCTTAATAAACGATCTGTTTGGTTGGCCCTTGTGTTCTGTTGTTACAGATATCCTTATCATAAAAATAAAAATTGAATGCAACTCAAAACCTGCATTCATATATTATGTACTACGACAAGTGGCTAGTTCCACTGGGAACGTACAGGACTTCAAGCTAGAGCCTTGAAGTTTCGGTAGCAGTGGTGTATATTTTTAAGGGATGAGGGGGGGGAGTTACCCAACCTTCCCTCTTTACCGGTCTTATTAAGTGAGGTAAAGGAGAGCATCGGCAGGGAATCGAATCCCAAACCATCTGTGTAGTTGGCGAGCATTCTACCGCTGTGTTACCGATGCACAATAACAGTGAATAGCTTTACGTAATCGGGGTGGTGGCTAACTAATTAGTTAGCAGATAAATAGTCATTTGGAGATAATTGATAGAAAACAAGGGAACAATGGAATGAAAATGGGTTATGAAAATAAAAAGAATGAAAAAGGACTAAATAGAGTTCATTCTACAACAATTCAGAAAAACACAATTAAAACTAAGCCTAGTGCAGTAAAATAGGCTAGATGAAACGTCTCTAAACATATAATTCACTTTTTTTCCTTATGGATGATGTGAAATCTTTCTGAACAACTTGATCGTACTTTATACATGACTCTGAGTGAAATTTCCATTGATGCTGTATGATCAGAAATATTAATTTCCTTCAGAATTGAGCTGTTGACTGTGTTCTGCATTTCCCTTTTTGACAATCATACTGATAAGTGTTCACGGGTGCGTCGGGACAATATGTTAACCTTTTTTTTGTCGATTAAGATTGTAATACAATTCATACCCCTCTGTCTAAGTAAATGTACAGCTCTGAAGTGAAGGTTACGAAAGGTGATTTCTTCGCTGACTTATGCATGTGCTCTTGATTTTAATCAATTCGATAAACCAATGAAAGTTATGTTCTAGACTAGGCGGCACACATGGCGTGTGAGACAGTCTGTGATAAATATCAAGTTTCAAGCTCAACTAGACGAAACAAAGATGAACTAAAGCCGCCAGGCATGAAAGGTTTGGGCACACCTTTAGGGCATCTTTTAAGCTATTCATATTTAATTGTAGCTGTTCATCATTTTTATTACTGTTTAACGTTTTGTCGATTATTTTCAAAGTGTCGCAAGTTAAAAAAAATATGTACCAAGACAACAGTCTGTATGTTGCCATAGTTAAACCTCATGCCACTGTGATACTCAATGCTTCGTAAATAAATGTTTACAATTATTATTATTATTGTTTCCTTGGGTTCCTAGTGGAACGTACGGCTTCAACTGCACGTCTCCACTTGCCACTTCTGTCTTCCTTATGCTCTACTTTTCACATGCATCCATCCATGTAAGTCCATACTCTTTCAACTCTTCTTCACTTCACACGATCTCCTCCATGTCACCCTTGCACTGACGTCCTACTCGCCGCTTCCCTTTCGGCCTGGTTCCACTCGAGCAATGGCCTGACGCGCACGCGATGTCACCCAGCGGCCTCCTCAGAGAGCGAGTGTCCAATCCATCCATTTCCACTTTCTCCTGCATATTTGTTGTTGTTGGGCGATTGGTTCTTGTTTTAATTATTTGTTCTCATAGTTTCTTGTTGGTGATTCTTTCCGACCCGGCCATCTGATCTTCAGTATAGAGCCAGCGAAGACAGTTGTTGGTTGATAAAGGTCTGCAACAGGCTGTTGGAAATATTGTTTGTGACCCACCCGCCAAGTTTCTGATCCGTTCCATATAGAAGAACTGACTGACTTGACATTGTTTGTATTGAAAATCCGACCGAATTTCGTTATTGATGTTGGCCGAGTGGTGAAGATTTCTAGATTGGTTTCAGGTTGATGAATGTGTTTCTCGCCCCCCTTCCCGATTCTCGCTCGATTTGACATCCTCGTCCGTTCCGACTTCCTGTAGTTGAGACAATGCTCCCCAGCCAGATAAGTGAATGTAGTGACCTTTTTCAAATCGCTCCCGTTGATGGTGATTGACTCTGGATGTTGCTGCTGCTGTTGTTGTTGTTGGTTGGTTATTTTCATAACCTCCGTCTTGTCTATGTTCACTTGGAGTCCTGTCTTCACTGTCTGCTTCTTCGACCAGTTTGTCGGTCGGTTTTCGCTTGTAAGTCTTCGATTTTGTGTGAAATCAAACATAAATCATCCGCGCGCGAAATCCAGGTCATCTAGGTTCTTCATGTCGGTCGGTCCAGGATATCCCTGTCCCGTTTCTCGTTTCCCACTGTCTAACGCATAATCCAGTCAATCCACCACAATTAGAAATATTATTGGTGATAATCACCAATAAAACTCTGGACAAGCGACACAACACAATATGAGACAAGTATATCACAATACTGTCTATGTAATTGAAAAGCTACAAAGATCGAAAACAAAAAAAGAACACATTAATAACTTACAGCTGAATTTCTGTAATTCATATCATAACACGAATAAGGATTGCGAGGATTAGGCAATATTGGTCTATTATACTGATTTGATTCAGCACAAAGTGGAGATGGATAATTACCACTTCTAGAAGGTGGATAATAACTGGATACCATTCGACTAATACCGTTGGCATCATTTTGATTGTAAGTTGTGTACCGAGTGTTATTATTTGAAGAATTTTCAGTGGGATATGGACGATCTGATGAAAGACCTGGATGATAAGATGTAGGCTGTCTAGAATGAAAACTGTGAGATTGTTGTTGTCGATAAACAGTATAATGGGCATAAGTATCTGAAACACCAGGACTATTTGTAGACCTTCTCGGACTATTACCATTACTATTATCATTATTAAAATAAACACCCTGATAACGTGCTGAAGAAGGCCCAGGAAATTGATTATGCATAACTTCATTTCGTGGTACTTTTGCTGGTGGATGCGGATAATGCCTAGCTTCGCTTGAAAGAGATGATACACTCTGAATAGTTGGGATATTACGTACCTCAGCATTGTTTATTACTTGATGTACAGATTGATGACAATCGGATGGCGAATGGTTATACTCTGACGGAGCGCAACGTTTACTTCCACGTGATGCTGATATGTTGAAAAAAAAGTCATAACAGTAAATGATTGAGTAAAGAAGACAGATGACAGAAATATTAATACACTTCTTACTATATACCAAAAGTTTGTGCGTTGGTGGTTCAATGGCAGAGTACTCACCAACTGGGTCCCGGTTCAACTTCCAGCCTCGGACTCACTCCCAAACTTCGTTTAGTCTATAGTAAGTCCGGTTAAGAGGGAAGGTTAGATGTGAAGCTAGCAAACCCCAACACCTGTGAAAAACAAAGGTGCTGCTTTCACTAGCGACTGGCCCTATTCAGGTAGGTAGTTACCTGGGGTTCTAGTGAGAAGTCGTGACCAGTAGGGTGCAGCAGGCCGGGTGTGAGGACAAATACTCGCCAAAGACATTGGTTGAGGTCGCGCTATGTCGTGAATTGGCAGAAGTTAGAATTCATGGGCCATTGGATCGGGTCCCAGTGGCTAAATGGTCCACGAGCTAGCTCGCCTTGTAACCAGAAGGTCCTGGGTTCGAATCCCGGTGGATGCGTACTAACGAAGAGCCCCAAACTAGGACGAAACAGCTATCCAGTACTCCCAGTTTTTCCTATGGTTCTCTAACTATTGTCAGATCATGATGAAAATCCCGTAATGAAAGCTGAATATTGAAGCACTATGTTCCATTCGGAAGCTAAAGGGATGAATATACATATGTACGGGAAGTTTACCCTCCTGTCTTATCGGGATTTCACCAATACTCAACAGCAATCTAAGTAGTAACACAACAGATTTTGCTGGGAATGTTTACCACACTAAATCATTAGAAGACATATTTTATGTATAGTTGATGGCGTACCGACCCTCCTCTCACTAAAGGTACGGTTTGAGAGGAGTCAGAGGGTAAAAGGGACCACTCAAAGCTCCAAGAAAAAAAAGTCAAGCAGGAAAAAGCTCCAAGAAAATATCATTTTTATTCTCTTGGGTTCCAAGTGGAACATAGAGCTTCAACAAAAAAAATCTCCACTTTATAGATAACATTTTATTTTGATAAGTCATACAGTGTTATACAGTAATATTAATTGATGACGTTTTAAGCACAAACTATTGCCAATAATCATATGGGATATAGATATGCTGTCTAATTAACCTTGTTTCTATATTAGATCATTCTTGTATTACCTGATTAATTATCTTAACTTGACAGACATCATGTACACACACACACACACACACACAAATAGTTATATATAAATGGGATTGTAGAGCTATGTGAATGAATTCGCGTAAATGAGTCGCTTCGCTGGACGTCTTCTCTTTTTCATATGACACAGTCCGCCTCAGTTAAGAATATCATTGGTGACAATAGACAGGCCTGTCTTACTCCTGTATTCACTTCAAATCAGGCTTCGCTGAGTTTTCAGTTGTGAACCACCTGTCACTTGGAATTGTCTTATAGCCAGCTGTTGAATGAGGTTGGTTAAGACTTGGTCACTGCACGTCGAAATGTTGTAGTAGTTTCCAAATTACTCCACAATCAAAGTTGTCTGTCAAAGGCCTTTTTGAAGTCGATAAACTTGAGGTAAAGTGAGGTTTGACTGCCATTCTATGCTTTGTTCTGTAATGAAAATGACAAGTAGAGTTGCAACTTCATCAGCACATGATTTGCCTTTCCTGAACCCAGTTTGTTCAGGTCGGTAGGGCGGTGTCCTCCATCCAATGCATTTTTCATTCTCTCCAGGATGATGCGACCTAGCATTTTACTTAGCGTGGACAACAACATTACTCCACGCTAGTCAGTTCTTGCAGAGGCCTAACTAGGTCGCCCTTCTTTGGAAGCTTGACAAGGTAGCCAGCTTCTTTCTCAATTAGTAGGTAGCTTTCCTGCCCTACATCCAGACCTTTTGCGATAATGGCGTAAGAACATCTCCCGCAGTCTCTGAGTCTGATTGCAATGCTTTGGGAGGAATTCCGTCTGGTCAAGCTTCCTTCCCGGACAGCGTTCAATAACTTCATCGCATTTAGTACTTATGCTTTCGTTGGAGGACTGGTGTCTACTAGCAAGGAGTTTTATGCGTGGTGTTGGTGGTGGTATTTCTGAGCGAGATGCAAGTGATGGTCGATTCAAGAATGCTTTAAAGTGATCAGCCTATGGTTGTATTTGTTTCTCCTTCCTGGTGATCAGGTTCCCTTGAATATCTTTTATTGGTTTCATCATTTGGGTTGATCTCTTTCCGGATAGTGAGCGACCTGGTTATCTGATATAACAATGTCCAGAGGTTTGTTTCACCTGCGGCCCGCCTGCCTTCCGGAATGTTCTGCTTCAGTTGCCAACCTATGTGTCGTAGGATTTTCGCTTGTCTTTCCTAGCAAGCTTCTTCACTTCTCTCTTTATTCAGTGCAGTGTACATTGAACTCAGTTTCTTCTTCTGTTGCCCATCTTTGCATTGAGTTATTCCCTCTTCCACTCTCCTCTCCTCGATTAGCTTCCAGGTAGGTAGGTGATCGATGAGAGCCATTCCTTGTCGTCCCTTCTTTCTTGCTAGAGCAGTTGTACAGCTTTCCTTCAACATCACCTTAAGAGAGTGAGTCCCAACATTCTTCCACTCAAGACTCCTCAGTGATGTCACGTAGTGTATCCGACTCTACACGGATCTGTAGTGAAGGTAGGCATCCCTTGAGGTTTTGCGCTTCATTTTCTGAATGTCAAACGTGAATCGCAATGGCCTGTCTCCACTTGTTTTGAAGGATTTCAGCTTCACCTTGAAGGTTCCTTGCACTAGGTGACGATCTGCGCCCACATCTGCTCCCATTCCAGCGAAGAATAAGATTGTTGTTATTTGAAGTTTTCGTATTTTTAATACATTTCTTGTGTTTTGAAATTTCTGTAGTAGTTTGATTGGTTTTGTGGTGTAGGGTGGTTGTTAGCCCCATGACTAACATTCCCCTTTTACCCGAACTTGGAACCGGCTAGAAAACTAGCAAGCTGGTTAACTAATCGAGGTTCCAAGAAAACATAGTCAGTATAAATTCATTCTCATGACTCAACAGCTACTGATTCTTATTGGTATACTCGCTTTCGCTTATAGATACCTTCAGGAAAAGAACAATCCTCCTTCGTGTAAACAACAAGAATGCGTTCCTTGTTCTGATACCTCCAACGTTACAACTTGTTTAACTTTTATGCTTACAGAGTAAGACAAGGATTCGGGCTTAATAAATTATACAGCTGCACGCAACACTGCACAGTAGTCTTTTAGTTTACCAGTTAATTGGAAGAAAGATACAGTGCACTGTACTTTTATGTTTATTAGTAGAGTAGCCATATGGTGAAACTGACCAATAGACTTTGACTATCACTAAAGACTAACAGAATACGATCATTACCGTTTCTTTACTATCCATTTCTACAGATTATCTATAAACAGTTAACCGAAATCTTAGTTAAGAAGTCTATCATCATAGTTGCCAGTTTAAGTGGATTTGAAGCATTAGATATATACAGTTGATGATAAGCAGTTTAGTAATTACCAAACAGTAAAAAAGGGTATTATTATGCTGATTTCAAGTTACGCATCGACACCGATTACTCCCAAAGAAATCCTTGTAGTTTAAAGAGATGTGTAAACACACTCATGTTACTAACAGGATTTGTGACATCCATTACAGAACCATTGGAACACCTGGGAGTACTGGACAGCTGTTTCGTCCTAGTTTGGGACTCTTCGTTAGTACGCATCCACCGGGATTCGAACCCAGGACCTTCTGGTTACAAGGCGAGCTAGCTCGTGGACCATTAAGCCACTGGGACCCGAACCAATGGCCCATGAATTCTAACTTCTGCTAATGCATAATATAGGCATGACAACTAACTAATGTCATCGGTGAGTATTTGTTCTCACAGGCGACCTGTTGTACTCACGTTACTTGTTGCTTGAACTTATTTATTCGGAACAGAATTAACATATACCAGGTTAACAGCCACACTCGTCGTGTGAGAGCTAATGATACTATCCAGTTGCTCAGGCTGAAGTTAGTAGGGGGGGACTCTAACCCATAACTCACCAGCTGACACCGAGTGTTTAAGTCAATGAGTCACACCTCTACAAATTGTGACTTGGTATTAAAAAAACAGTTATGTCAATGCTTTTCTCTCTCGAATGAATTAAATGCTTACATGATTCAGCATTGCTTTCTATAAGGAAGATGTTGCCTTCAGTAGAGGGAGGACAGTCAATATCTCACAACATACACCACTCTAATCAAAGTCTATGAGTTTAGAATAAGTTTACTCTCACTAAGCAGATTTTCTTGAAAATGTCAATGAATTTTCATAAGATAATGATCTCAAATTAACCTCATACAACACTGAGATATAAACTGTTAATGTCTTCAGTGTACTTTTTCGAAGCTCGTAATTTCTCCATCACAGAAATAACACAGGTAAATTTATGCAATGACAAATAACGTTGAAGTCATCAATTATTTTTTAATCAAATCACCCTCTTCAATGACTCAACCTTCAACTATGAATACAAAACATCTGGTCAGTATTCATAAGCGAAAAACACTGTGCATCGGGATCTAAGTACACAAAACGCCTATGTAAATAACACATAGTAGTCAATAGCATGGGGTAAAAGTGAAAACTGATGTGGACAATAGAAATCCTTCAAGAGATTAGCAACGTCTAATGTAAGTTTCTTTTTTTCTTAGTATGTTTTGTCATTTTTAAGAACTGGGAAAAAGACTCTAGCTTGTGAAGACATGCTGATTTAAGACTTATGATATATGATAAAACTGAAAGATTGAGGAAACAACTTACCTGTTGTTGACAAGGTGACAGGAATATTAGACTGTACACTGGAATTAACGATAACATTACATGGATTTCTCACTGTATCACAACCACTTGAAGATGGGAAACGATTCATACTCGAAGGTGTAACGTGTGTAGCAGGATAATTACAAGTTGGGTTAATAGCAACACAAGATGGCCGTGTAACATTCGATTGTGTTGTACAAACAGGTGTCTGACTACAACAACTATAGTGTGAAACGATGTTTGACGATGTTGCTACTGCTGCGGGTGCTGCTGATGATGATGATGACGAGGATGCACCATCACTTCGTGAAGAAACAGGAAATTGAGAAATATTTTCAGAATGTGAAAATTCACTAGGTGGGAATTGTGGTGATAAAGATGAAGATGATGATGACATTGGTGTCACTTTATTAACTGGACGTTCAGCAGGGTTGGCCACTACTGTTGACGGGGTGCTTTCTATATAAAGCAGGACAATTATTAAAACTCACCAGAATATAATCAAACAAATTTACAGCAAAAAAAAATGTTCGGCATAATTAAAACAACCTGAATTTGAAGCTTTACAAATACCTGAAGCATTTTACATATAAGGAGAACCTAATAGAGGATTCGTCTTCTTAATAGGTGTAGCCCATCACATGATTACGATATATAATCTCAAAAGCTATGGGTGGTTCTAGTTCGAATCTCAGAAGGGACATGAGTTCCTTAAAAATCATTGATAAGCCTTGCAGATGAGTGCCAGTTTCCACGAAATTTAGTTTTAAGGCTTCCAGCCAATTGACTTCAACTATCTAACAACAGTTTACAGTGCACTGTGATGGTGACCCACCTGGCATAGTAGCCACACATTGCAAAGTTGGCTGATAATAGAATTTAGTCTCCGCTATTAAAAGGATCAGACACATGACAATAGTTACCACCTTGTGTCCAATCAAAGTATAAACAAGTTTAAAGCTGTGATTATTTGAACTTTGGGCACAAAACAAAGGCAGAAAAATGCTAATTCATAATTATTGGATATACAACTGATAGTTCTGTACAATATAACTCACCATGATACATAAAATATTAGTAGGCGTTTTATTGAAAGACAAAATATTAGATCAGGTAACGATAAAAACTAAAGCAAATTTTCAATAGGTGAAACAAGCGTTGATCGGACACTTCTTAATAAAAACAAAATGTATTCCAGCTTGGAAGTCACATGTAGTCCTTTGCTATATTTCTGATGGATGTTAATATTTATTTATTTTATTTAAACGCAGAAAAAACTTGGTAATATATGGTACCGGGCTGAGATACTGCCCGGGCGCCCAGACCGAAGCAGGCGGTTTTCTTAAGGGACCATCCCCCGAGCCTTTGACTTGGAGTCTAATCCGAAAGGCAGCGGAGCAGTGTCAGGAACTGCACTCCCATGGTTTCCGGTGACCCATATGGGTTCGTACGCCATTTGTTCCGATCGGATTCTGGAGCCCATGTACCCCATGGTAACGGCTTTTAGTTTAACCGCTATCTAAACAACTTTCCTGACATGGTAGGACCTGCAGGGACATGAGTCCCAGCCAGTTTAGCTTGTTGGGTCACTGCGGTATTCAAGCCTGACCACCACGGTAAGGTAGGAGTTGTCGGCCAGAGATGGATGTTAATATCTGAACCCCAGCCGCCCCCGCAAAAAATAAATGTTTTCATAAGTGATAAGACAATTTTTCAACTCCATGTGCTTAGTCTGTCCATAAGATAATATTGTAGATGCCTAATCTACGGTAGATATATTTACGCCGCTAAACAGCAGTTACACTGTAGCGACTCCAGATTATATTGGCTATCTGGAGTTATACAATCAAGTTTCATTATAGCTAAAAAGTCAAGTGATATGAGTCATTTCAATATTGAAGATATATCAAAACGTCTTATTGACTACTAACTGCCAACGTATTATTCTGGGAAGGTATCTGATAAGATCTAAGGAGTGGGCCTGAAAATCATGTCACTGTGTTTGTAACACATTGACTGATGGGAATATGGTATTTTCTAAATACAGTTTAACAGGAACACAAAGTTCAATCACTGAAAATAGATGTCATGAAACTTAACTATGCACCATTGCATGCATCACGTTAAGAACCATAACCATAAGTCAGACACCATATCAGATTGCAAGAACCCTTGGTAAGCGCAACTGAGAGTTCTAATCTGTGATTCAGGTGTTTAATTTTAATGAGACTACAGCTCCATCTACTAGCAATACAATGATGCTCAAAATTAAGATGTGCCCACTAATTTCTTTAAGGTGTGACTTCAAGCAGTAATTGAAGTAAACATCTGCCATTCGGTTTATCCGATGTATACGGTATGCGGTCCAGAAAGCAATAGAATATCAGTATGACAATTTTTTCCCTCACGTTCCCCAGTGGAACAAAGGGGTTCAAGCTAGTGGCGTGAAGTTTCTGTAGCAGTCTTTATTTTACAGGATGGGCTTGCTAGACTCATTCCTAACCTTTCCTCTTTACCAGCATTATTTCTGGCTCAGTGAGGCAAAGGAGTTCGTCGGCCGGGGATCGAACCCCAGACCATGCGCATGGTCGGCGACCGTCCTAACCGCCATACCACCGACGCAGTATGACAATTTAACCATGTTATATTCACCTTCTCCCTCATTCTTAGGGAAAAAGTGTTGGTGGCGCATACAGTTGACCTTTATCCGGCGTAATAACGAATGCATATCGTGACGGAATAAAAACAATAATGGTATCGCCATTCTATGCCATATTTGTCGGACGAAAAGAGAACTATTTTCAGTAAAAAAAAAAAACTGTCACAACAATGATTACGAATTTCTGTGCAAAATCACCTAGTTATCCGATAGTTCTTCCGTTCAAAACCCCTTTCACACACTTTGATCTAGGCAGGCAGGTACTATGACGATTAGCCCTTACAGATGCCTGCGTTCTATCTCCCGTGTGAAGTGGTATAATAAGGTGAGCAATATTCAGGTTAGGCACGGATCGAGTGCTAGGTAAGGAGTGGAAATCAATCGACGAGACTGTGAATTTACACTGATTGAGATGGTTAGGACATGTGTTACGTATGCCTAGTCATCGCCTTCTTCGACAGACGGGCAATGTTAGCTGACATTGGGTCAGACTGGAAAAGAGCCAGTGGAGGTCAAACAAAAACATGGCACCAGTCAATGAAATCTACAACAGTTAGTCTAAGCCATGTAGGAAGGTGTAGACTTCCAGGTTGGGGTCCTCGGGACGGTAAAAATCAATGGTTGGTAACAATTGGTGATATGGTTCAAAATTGTTCTCATTGGTTGGCACAGATGCATCCACTCCTTGTGACTTATACTTTCCAATGAAACTATATTGTTCTTCGTTATTACTATTCCTTTGTCTGACACCTCTGTTTACTGTCTCTATGATGCATTTCTTCTATTTTCTTCTCTTGCTTTGTGTGCTACATGGAGGGAAAGTGGCGACTCGAACCACTGCACATTGGTGCAAAGTTCTATGTCGAAAACAGACAGACAGCCATTACAGATCAAGCGGGTCTTATTCTCTAATGTCCAAAGGTTGAACTATAAAAAAAATTGAAATACAGGAAATTTCAACAACGCAATAAATATCCAGACTTACCTGAAGTTTTTGGTACACTTGTACTGGGCAGTTCATTTTCATCATCAGACAGTGTTAAGTCAATAGTGAATGTAGAGGGCTAAAAAGACAAATAGCACAAGTGAAAATGAAAACCAACCGTTTTTTATTGAACTTTAACCGGTAATAAAATAAATATATAGGCACATTTATAGATTAAATGAATAAATGAATGAATAAATAAATAAATGAATGAATGGATGAATAAATAAATAGTTTAATTTTTAATGATAAGTATGTAATACGAAAATTAAACTAACCTCTTGACAGGCTTGTTGGTTTATTTCTTTGTCACGTGACAACTGACTAACAAGTGGCATTTGACAAACATTTGCAGTAGAGCCAGTAGAAGAAGTGTTAACATCATTTCTAGACAATGATACGACACTTCCAGGAAGTATACTAACTGCAGGAGATTGTGGTAATACATTACCAGGAAGAGTATATGGATTAGACGAAGAATTCACTGAGCTCGTAGGGGATAAAGTGTTAAATGATGGTGCAAGTGAAGAAGATCCAACTGAATCTGTAGCTGATCTAATGGAATTCGGAGTGATATGACTTGTGTAAGGACTTTCTTGTAAAGTGTACGGTTGATTATAATCAACACATGTTGGTGACTCCGATGTAAGCATATTATCAGCATCGTGCTCTACTATCTGATTATTAGACATCATATGCCCACTTATAGATGACCAAGATCCATCAGCATGAAATATAACTTCATCAAGATCTTGAGCTCGTTTTGAGCGTAGAACTTCTAGAAATAGACTAGAAAGTAGTAAAGTAAAGAGAAAGATATGTTCAGAGTGCAGTGTTAACTGACGCATTACAATTACATTTTTATGAGTCTGTTCTGACAAAAGGAGATTAACGGCTACAACACATATCATTTATTTTAATTGATAATATACAGTAACATTTATATACCAAGCTGTCAACACTTTCACTGTGAACCAAAAGCCAACTAGAAATTAACTGAGGGTACCAGTATGTTGCACAACTATTTTGCTATATTAGATTGTGCCCACATTCTAGGTAAATCGTATCTTTATTCATCAAAATGAACAGCCTAAGAACATTTCGGGTACAATCTGTCCAAACAATTAATATCATGTGATCATAACTGTGAATATTTTGACCGCAGAGTAGGGGGTTGTAAGTTGGTGTCTACCTTGACTAGAATGCGCCTCTAGAACAGGACATTATAACCACCTGGTCTGTTGAAATTATCTCTCCCGCAATGAGAGAGACAAAAAAGTCAGACTGAGATAAACGAGGAGCTTTATTAGATATGGTTTGGATAAAAGTAACCTAATTAATTTGTTTGTAGGATAGATACCTTGGTGTACACATGACAAATTTGCCTTACAGCCTACTGTACACAAAATAGAGGGATGTGATTTAATTGTATTATACGAATTTCGATCACACAAATACATGATACAGACAAATTGATGGGGATACTTCTGAAGAAGTAGGATAGAGGTATTTGTTTAAACCATAAAGTTTAGAAAGTGTTAGGCAATTACCTCTTTAAGAAAACTGGTGATTACAGCATGTAAAGGTCAACTTAAAAATGTTTGAATGAAGTCTTTTGAACTCAACTACCTGGAATATATTTTTCATGTATCGATCAGACTAAGAGCTACACTTATCAAGTGAAGGCTGGTTATACTACCCAAACTGGAGTAGTTGGGGGCAGGATTCAAACTCAGGACAAGTAGAGCGAAAATCGAATCCTTAAGCCAATGAGTCATATTTTTTATTTTATTTTTGATTATAGCTTGATTCCACACTGTATTTTTGGTGCAAGTATGGAATTTTCAGCATGTGATATCGGTAGTCCAAATTTTGCAAGCCGACCATAGATATCCAGTGTGCGTCGGCTGGGGATCGAACCTCGGACCACATGCATGGTCGGCGAGAGTCCTAACCACTGTGCCACCGACGCAAAGATAACTGCATTATAACAAGGTGGTCAGCAATACGAATTCAATGAGAGTTACCTGTGATCTGACAGTGATTCATATTTTCTTCGGCTTGTAAATACACTAACGTTTCATATGAGGTCAAATTTTGATCACAGTTCATACAATTTTGTTTATTATACATGTTGATGCCTGTTTCATGACTCATATGATTGGACAAAGTTTTTTTTAAGAACAAGGGATGTCCTTTGATATATAAACCTCTCTTATGTTAATTTGGATTAATTTGCCTGAAGAAGTTCGGACAGAATTGCCGAACGAAACGTTGGAATTAATCATTGCAATTTCGCTGACATTTTACAAAAATAATTTTTACAAATATCACTAACGTTTTTTTAAATTTTAGGGTACATAACCAAGACGTCTACAATTCTTCATATGATCTGCGACGGTGTATATGGTGAATTTTTGGATTAGTCCTACCTTTATTCAGTTGTTATTAGACTACTTATTTCTTACTAATTTGAGTAATGCATTTCTATTAATTTTGCAAATAAACGTTCAAAACATCAAGTAGAGGTTAATTGGTGGATGGTGACTAGCAGTGTAATCCAGGATGCACATCTCGTCCTATTTGGGACTCGTCAGCTGGATGTACCTGCATTCTGCGGTGATTGATGTTCCCACTCACTGAGGAATGCAGGTACATCCGGATGACGAGTTCCGAATAGGACGAAATGTGCGTCCTGGATTCCACTGCTAGTCACCATCCACCAATTAACCTCTAGTTATATGCCCAGACATCGTCGAAGCATCTGCACAAGAAGCCGACATGTCAACCTGAGCACTTCAATCCAATTAGTCGACGGGAAAATCTAAAAAATTCAATTAAAAAACATCAAGTAGTTTAAATTCTTTTTCACAATCACTCCACTTTCTTCATATATACACACACATAACAATGATACATTTTAACTTCATCTTTGGCACTTACCCATCAATTATTAAATCATCGTAAGGAGCTTTAACATCACACACAGGACAATTCCAAGTTGGTTTACGCTCATTAATTATAAGGTAAGTTGTTGCATCATAGCACTGGACATGACGACAATTACGGCCACGTACAGGCACTTCAATACGACATTTAGACAGGGGACAAAGAAGTTGAACAGGCAAAGTATTTGGCATTACTACATCGTCGTCATCATCATCATCACCGGCGTCAGCATTCCCTGTGGAACGACTCTGTTTAAGTACACCAGAAATACTATTAATACTATTAGCATTAGAACTGAGTTTTCTTATTATCTCCATCTATATAAGAGAAAAAATTCGAAATGAGTATAAGTATCTACAGAAAATGGTAGGACTATGAGTAACTACTGTATAGAGAGAATACAAAAGTATGTGTTAAAGCGTCACAATAATTCAGTTGTTGAATAAAAAAAATATGCTTTGAAAAATGATGATTGAAGTCGAAGAAAATCCAAATTATAGATAGACTTGCTTTTAAACTTTTCAACTATTTGAAAACCAGGGAGTGCTGGACAGCTAGCTGTTTCATCCCAGTTTGAGACTCTTCATCAGTAATGCATCCACCAGGAACTTCAGCTCCCGTGGCCAGGCTCATTGACCATACAACCGCTTTGGCAGGGATACAACAATTCGTGAATTCTAACTTCCATCAATCTGCGATTTTAGCGTGACTACCAGATGTTGTCAACGATGAATGGTTGCTCTCACAGCCAACCTTAAATAGTCTACATATTTTTATCTGTATGCTATCTTTTGATTCCTTAATTAGTTGTTTAAAACTGACCATTAACAAACCGTTGTTTGAGGACACAATGGTAAGTTTTCTTGATTTAAACCGACATATTTTACGCTTCATGACCTTTTTTATTTTTATTCCTTCACGTCCCCAGTGGAACATAGGGCTCCAAGCTGGTGGCTTGAAGTTTCTCTAGCAGTGTTTATTTTACAGGATGAGGTTGCTAGCCTCATGCCCAACATTTCCTCTCCACCAGCATTATTTCCGGCTTAGAGAGGTAAAGGAGTGCGTCTGTGGCCGGGGGTCGAACCCCAGACCATGTGCATGGTCGGAGAGCGTCCTAACCACTATGCCACCGACGCACTTTATGACCTTTTAGTCAGTACGAATATAACAATGAATCAATTTGCTTAGAAAAAATAAGCGTGATGCGGAGTCATTTCAAATTTCTGTATAGAGAAAACAAATAGAGTAACACACTTGATTCAACCGGTTTATTGTACAGCTTGGCTGAAAATACTATATGTAAAAAAGGAAACTTATAGTTCAGGTGAATATTTTCAGTGCCATAATGTTCCCTCATAGAAGGAAGCAACCGCTGAAGATACTGTCTAGCAAAAGCTTCGTCATTAAGCCATCCAGCACGGAGACCACAGTAGCCACACTTCTTGGAAGAGAGCTGAGGATACACCACAGTCATCTAGGCTGGACCAAATGAAGTAAGATAAGAACTAAGGACCCACTCGTCGAAAGTTATAAGCCAAAGCTGATGGCCACCTTGCTACCCTCTCTATATATCATTGGTTTATTGAAATACTTTCACAAGCGATTGTCTCCAAAATAAGTGAAAGACATGTTAAGCATCAATTCAAAGTTTATATGAGAAGTATGAAACGGAATACAGATCAGCGGTGTATCTAAAGAAGGTGGTTATTAAATATAACATGATCTTTTAGGCGCAACAGACAAATCAGCCTTGAAGGTACAAGTTTATCATCTCCAATGTCACCTGTTGAGTAGGAAATTCATTCATTCCTTAGTCCTCAGTTATTCAGCCACTGGTTGACTCGATTTCATCCTGAATACAGAATCACTTTTGATCTTCTCCTAATCGGGTAGCTCGAACTTTCAGCAGATATATAAGCTGACGGACTTGATAGGATGTCAGGTATACTGTTACCATTAACCCTTATAATAATGTCTAAATTATAAACAACGGTAAAGTGAGAATAATGCAAGCCATCTAGAGTTTTGAACAAACCAGGTAAGTCAACTCACTGTTCGAGTAGATTCGTCTACCCAGAATAGAGTTGAATAGAAAAAAAAACACATTAACAAAGCAAAATATGATAATACTCTATGAAGACGTGAACTACTGATCTAAACCATGCAGTGAAAGACAAACGGAGTGGCTTGGACTGTAACAACCAGAATCTATGCTTGAAGTTTTCATACAACAGAGGACAAAACCAATCTGAATGAATTCATACATTATCTTCCCCACAATCCCATTACAAAGACTTTTTATTCACCCTAACTTTTGTCATTTTCATTGTCTCACTGACACAAAGATGCTAGATATGAGCACCACTGCTCAGTCTACATGGAGTGTGGTGACTCGAACTGCTGCATATCGAGCAAAGTTCTATGTTGAAATCAGCCATCCATCCAGATACTACTCGGTAATGATAAGCATTATGCTGACAGTGTCCGTCTTTCTCCCTCAATTCTTTACATACATATTTTAGTTGACCTACTTTGATACCCTACTGAAACCAATAATTCATATGAAATCCTTTCAGAAGATTGAGAGGACTATTAACTACTTAATCTACATATGATATACATTTATAAAGCTAATACTGTTATTATTATTCAAAGCCCCAAAAAACTACCTGGAACGATCAACAATGGATAGACTTTAGTCCTCTTCTCGAGATGTTTTCATGTGGCCACTTATTATTAACCTCTGATAGGTAAGTCCAATTCAATCCTTTCACGTGGCGGTGTTCCTCATAAAAGTAAAAGGATGATGATTAAGAACGTCCGGCGTTTACAACCAGACTGGTGGATATCCAGGTCTACCCTAGAGGAGCTAGAAACCTTGATTCTAAGCCTATGGTGCGCATGAATTCCAGAACCCGGAAGAATTTGATTTAGTCACACAAGCAACCATGGCAACCACGCAACCCCTGACGCTGCCCCACCATTACCTTATGCATCAGACTTCAAGTCAACAAATCGGAGGTGGTCCCTTACAACAGCTGCCTACTTCGGTCGGGACACCAGAGCAGTATCTCAGACATAGTACAAACTATACGACAACAATTTGTGTAGTATATCTCTCTTGGCGACCATGAAGTACCAAGTTTGAGTTATTTCACCTAAAATTCTCCCCATCATTTACATATATATCTCTCTTGGCGACCATGAAGTACCAAGTTTGAGTTATTTCACCTAAAATTCTCCTCATCATTTACATATCCCACTCTGTTTAAATGATTTACTTCAACCTAATTCACTAATTCGAAATATGTAAAACAAACAAACAAACTTAAGACCTAATACATACTGAACACAGATTCTTGAGAAAATCATTTAAAGATTCAACACTGGAGTCCTATAAACTGACAAATCAATGCTTTCATCACTTCTATAAGAAGAGACATTTTAAATAGGCTTGGAGGGAATTTATAAATTTACAAGAGACTTAAAGACTATCATCATACAAAAGAAAAAAACATTGACATTGAAATAATAGGGAAGATTTGTAACTCAGGTGGATGATTTGCAATTAATAGTGTTCTCTGAGCTGGTTGGTTTAGTTGCGCAGCTCTCGTTGTCCACCTTCTGGACAACATCTTCAGCGCAGTATTTAGCATAAAGTCAAATGATTTTAATTTTTTTTCATGAGTGATAGAATTGCGTCTCCCGGTAACCATCTCTACATATGTACTGATCATTTTCTATTGACTTGGATTTTAAACTTTCTAATCACCTGACTTACTTTTTCATTAGTTGGTATATTTCGTTTATATTAACGTGTTTGTTAATTGCATTTTTGTTTGAGTACCAGGCCTCTGGGAATTCCCTGGCTGCACTTTTGGTGTTTCCTCTGTATAAGATTTTGACATTATCCCAATCAAATTGATGTCCATAATTGTCTATACGCATTGATACTATAGAACATATATCATGTCTTTTCACGGCTGATTTGTGTTCTTGGATTCTAATTCGAAGGGGACGCCCACTTCGGCCGATGTAATGCTTGTTAAAGTTTATACAACTTATTTTGTAAATGGTGTTAATTTTATCCCCTTTTTCTGTTGGATCTTTTGGTTTGCATAATATTGAATTAAGCGACTTGACTGGCTGACTTGTGTGCTACATCTATATCAAACGGTTTCGTTATTCTAGCTGTTACTTCAGAGATATTTCTCATGTATGGTAGGATGAATTTCTTTTTGGTCCTTGATGATGGTGATGAAGAAATTTAAATCATTTCACTTTATCCTAAATACTGCGCTGAAGACGTCGTCCAGAAAGACGACGAAAGCTCCGCAACTAAACCAACCAGCTCCGACAACACTATTAATTACAAAAGATTGACATTATTTGAATTTAATCCGCTTTTTGCTGATAAATACACCTAAAAGTGAGTTTTATTACTGATTGATTTCTACTGTGAATAAGAAAAGTTAGTTAGGCATCAAAACTTACTCGCATTGTATTAGCACTTTTAAATGAAGTAGAATTTAATAAAGTACATAATTGTTGAGGTGAACGCCTACGCATCAGGTATATTCCGACAACATTGTATGTAAAACTAGCATAATCATGAGTCCAAGTCAATTTGATGTAATTTGGAACAGTAGGAGAAACATGAAGCTAATAAATGTAAATAAATATGTGTAAATGAATGTTTTATATATGAATATTAAATCAAAGTTAGCTAAATGTTAAATTTTCTAATGGGTAATTTGTTTCATTTAACTTAGTTTCTTCTGACCATCATAACTACAAAATAAATAATAATAACTGTTACTTTTATGGGATTCTAACTTTCGCCTTTCTAGCGAATACTGTCTATAATTATCTTTAAATGTAAATTGAGTGGAACACAAAATAAGATTACTGTCACTGCTTTTAACCACCTATATCATCCAACATGCAATGCACGTATTTCTAAGTAAGGGTTTTTTTGTATTCCTTTACGTTCCCAGTGGAACACAGGGCTTCAAGGTAGAGGCTTGAAGTTTCTCTAGCAGTGTTTATTTTTACCGGATGCGGTTGATAGCCTCATGCCCAACCTTCCCCCTTTTCCAGTCTTATTACTGGCTTAGGTAGGTAAAGGAGTTCGCCTGTGGCCGGGAGTCGAAATCCGGACCATTTGCATGGTTGGCAACCATTCTACCATTGTACCACCGAGGCACACTGAGTAAGGGGTAAACCAGACCAAAAAGCATATAAATTTTCCAATATTTGACAAAACTCTTTGGCCTAAATTATATTACAATTGAGTGACTCGTGTTATTTGTGAGTAATAAGGCAAAAGGAAACAATTATAACAAAATCGCTCTTCAGCAGTATATACTCACCGGGATTCGAACCCAGGACCTGGCGGTGCTACAAGGCGAAGCTCGTAGACCATTCAGTCATTGAGACCCTATCCAATGGTCCATGAACTCCAAATTCTGCTAAATCACGATGTATACCGCGATCGCAGAAGTTAGAATTCATGGGGCGTTGGATCGACTCCCGATAACTGAATGGTCACCTTGTAACCGGAAGGTCCTGGGGTTCGAGCCCCGGGTGAGTGCGTGCTACTGAAGAGCCCCAAACTAAGACGAAACAGATATCCAGTACTCTCTGGCATTGGTATTGCAATGGTATTCCAACTGATATCAGCTCAGGATCAAACCTGTAACTAGTCAAATCCCTGTAGACTAAAATTTGATAATTGTTTTTGTAAATCACTTTTACCCGATAGAAAATATTCTATAAAAATGAAATAACTTTCAGATTCACTGTAGACAAAATATGTCGTAGCTCTTTTTCACACAATCATTTTTGTTACTCATAGACTTGATTGAAAGACATTTGCTTATTTAATCAAAAGTCCGAAACCAAATTTTCATTGGTTTGTTTTGAATCAAACAGAATAACTGGTTGTTAGCTTATGCGAAGAGTGGAGGAGAAGACAGTTTTTCACTGAGCTATGTATGTATTGTTAGTGAGTTCAGAAATTCCTTTCATTACCTTATTCTTACTGCTACACTTTAGTATTACACTAAAAATAAGATTGATAAACAAACAAATAAGAATGTACACAATTATCGATTTAATTGACACCCGAACACATCCGTAACACTTAATGATTTTATTTCATACTAGTAGACATTCTGACAAAGATATGCTTTCATCACAGTGCTTATAAGACTGTATGATTTGATTCATACTGCATACTACGTTAGACGACATCGAAAACGGGACCCATAACTGTGAACCAAATCGATTGAAATTATGTACTTAGCCATTTCATATCTTGTAATAATAATAATAATAATAATAATAATAATAATAATAGTGTGCTGATTTATTGATACAGATAGGCGGCTGCTACTGCTCGCTCATATAAAAACATGCTAAAATTTAACAAGCACCATAAAATCTGAGAAACGAAAACACATACACCAAATCTTTAGTGTGACGCATAAAAATGTACAAATATTAACAGCAACCACAACAACAAAACGCCGTATACTTACACATTGTGTAATATTGATAGGTCTGGCATTACGTCGTCCATCCATACCTGGACGATTACTTGGTAAAAGAGGTGGTAGTGGAATAGGACGACCATTTACTTGAATTATTAAGTGAACTGGTAAACTATCATCAACCTGAGGAATTTGAATAGGCTTATTTATAGTTGAATTGTTCGATTTACGACCACCAGACAATTCATATGTTTCTACAAGATCTTGACAAGCCTGTGGATCTAATCGAGCAAAACGCATAATCACTTGTACTCCAAATTCCATCCGGTCATCAGCTCCACGACAACTGAAAATTAAAATCAATTTAATTATTTTATGATTATTCTTAATGCTTTTTTTAAAATTTTGTTTTTAAAAAATCGTTAGGATTGTTGAGCAATTAAATCAATGTGATGAAAACTCTTCAACTGCCGAACTTGGAATACTTAATGGTTCTCACCCATCTTTGCTTTTCACGGTCGAAGAAGAGTCGAATTCCTCGTTTCACTTCCTTGATGTTAAGCTAGATAGAAGAGAAAATGGCACGTTGTTAAGGTCGATTTACCGAAAGCCAACATTCACTGGGCAGTACACTAACTTCAACAGTTGGGTACCTTTAGGGAGAAACAGAAATCTTATTCATTCCTTATGCTCCAGAATTCGTAAAATCTGCTCTGCAGAGACAATCGATAGGGAACTAGATAACCTTCGATCAGATCTCCTAAACAATGGTTATCCTACAAGGTTTATTGAACGTAACATCAAGAAAGAATCCGCCCCTAGACAAATCACAGTGCCAAAGAAAAAACTGCTTATGAGTTTGGCATTCAAAGCTGACACCATTTCGGAATTGATTAAAAATCGTTTATCTAAATGTATTAAACGCACTTTTCCTGCAGCTGACTTGCAACTAGTTTTTACCAGCCGAAATATGATTAGACAATGCGTTAATGATAGATTAACGCTTTTGTCCACATCTATGTTTATTTACTCTTTTACCTGCTCTTGTGGAGCTGATTATATTGAACGTTGTAAGCGTAATCTCCAAAAACGTGTTGCTGAACACTATCGGGTTTGGTTAATGAAAGGCGAACGTACAACTGCGAAGTCGTCTATTTGTGATCACCTGTTAGAGTCTGGTCATTTAGCCCCACGTGATTCATCTTTCAAAGTTATCTACATGGCAAAATCGAATCGATCCAAAAGTTTACGTTTTCTCCACTTATGCATAGCTGAGGCTTTAGCTATACATGAGCAGAAACCTAAATTATGTGTTCAAAAGCGTTTTGTCAAACCCCTTTCTTTACCTTGGTCATAGTAATGTTCTTTCTAGTTTTTTTTCTATTTTATTTTACCACTTGAATTCTTTCCACTTCACTTCATATCTTCATTTTTATCGTAATCGTACTCCTAATTTTAAAAATTTTTAGACAACGCTTGACATTTTTGATATCAATTCACTTATAAAACAATCTTTAATAATTTTGTAATTTATCCACCTCAACTCTACCCCTTTTAACATTTTAATTATCGTTATTCTTACCACATATATATGTATGCTGACTGAGCAATTATTTAGTGCCACTTAATAACCTTTTTCCTGTAATATAAATACGACTGTACAGCTTGAAAATGAAGTCGTTGAAAAGAAATTTCTTTGCTGAACCAAAAAAACTGTGTTTTTACTTATGATTAAATGGGTATTTCTCGTGATTCATCAAATTAGACAGTAAAATGACTTTCGATAGTTATGATAAAACTAAAATTGGTTGGAAGACAGAGGCACAGAGAGAAAATATGACTGATTGACAGATTCATAAGAAAAAATAAATAAATAAGCTAATTTATACGTATGGATGAACGCCATAATCACTGAAAAAATAGCTAAACTACAGGGGTATAATCTTCTCTCTAACCAATTCACATAAATGTGCCCATATTTTTAGCTGATATAGTCTGATTTCAAAAATTTGATGAGTTTAACAGTACGGATGCAATTTTCTACTCAATCTAACTGTGGGATGCTATCATTGTTGTGCGGCTATTCATTATTTATCAATCGTATGTAATTATCAATTCACCTGCTCGTGTGGAGTCACGTATGTCGGCCGTACCCAGCGTTCGCTTTGCAAACGTATCACCGAACACTTACCAACATGCTTTTACAAAGGAGAAAAACGATGTTCCCACAGCTCCATCTTAGAACATCTGATAGAATCCGGACACCAAGCTACACCCCAAACAAACTTCAAAGTCGTCTACAGAGTAAGAGGTAGTCTTCCTAAAGGTGTACGAATCAGACCTCTTCAAACTGAAGAAGCAATGGCGATTCACTTGCTAAGCCCTGAACTCTGCATAAAGAAGAAGTTCGTTTAATCGCTACACTTGCAATGGACGTAATCTATCTTATTACCCGACAAATAAATTCCACCCAACCTTTTTTCTCTCTATTCATTAGTATTATTTTGTCTTCTCAATTATAATATTTTGCATTTTCAGTTTCTTGACTTGACCAACGCTCAATTTCTAGTCATTTAAGTTACGTCATCCAACTTAATTGCTCAATTTCAGTTCTTATTTAAATAGTATTATTCTCTACCCTACCTCAACTCAGTCTCTATACCTGTAATTACCTCTTTTGCTACCCTGACCTAAGTTGAAACATTTCAGTCAATTATATTACGTCATCTAACTTACTAACTCAATCTTACTTTAGTTGCCGTCTAATTAACCTTGTTCCTATATTAGATCATTCTTGTATTACCTGATTAATTATCTAAACTTGACAAGCCTTATGTACACACACACACAAATAATTATATATAAATTCGATTGTACAGCTATGTGGATGAATTATCCGGAAAGAGTCTCTTCGCTGAACGTCTTCTCTTTTTCATATGAACTATTATAGTCAAAACTACAGTGACCTTGAACAACCAATCAGAATTCAGGTACAAAAAAGTCGCATAATCGTTGAAAAATAAAATGAAAAATACTGCAAACTTGATATTACACTGTATAGTTGTAGCTTATGTGTTGTAAGATTGTCTCCCAGTCAGTTGCACAGATGATCTATAGAGAAATGGCACCATGTACGGTATATCCATTCATCCAGGTGAATCTAGGTCATGGCACCTTGAGATCCATTGACATTTCTAACACTATTCTTCGACCTACTCCTAACTCTAATCGTAGGCCTAACTCCTAATTCTAACTTTAACCCTAATCCTAACCTTAACCCTAGACCCTAAGCTTAATATTAAAAGCCATAACCCTACCCAACAGTATAGATTTGAAGAAAAAGTACCAAGTAGATACGTAGAATACTGTATCTACCCTCTCCAAGTTCATAAAGACAGGTATGATTTGATTTAGAATGATATTTCATAGCATTCCCTGTGTCTGATCGGTTTTCTTGTAACGACAGATGCGAGGGCCAGGCAACAGATCGTTTATTAAGAAAATCAAGAGGTACTTATAAATTTATATGTGCATTATTAGCGTCATTGCTAGCGGAGAAGCAACCTCTTCTGACTGGTTGTTGTCTTATTTTGCTGGAGGTTATTCTATCATCCCTTTGTGATCGTTTATCAGATGGTCAAGTCATATATCTGTGAACCATATTTCCATACTTTAACTCCGCTGTGATTGGCTGGTGATATTTTCTCAAGGTTATGCTTTGTTATTGTTTTACTCATAACCCTGGTTAGGGACGTCAACATTGACGTAAATTGTTGTCTACAATTTTGGCTTGCAGACAGCTCTCACCACACCCTAAAGTCAACTTCTGAAAGACCTTGACTTTGGCTGTGATTCTTTAACTTAGCCTGGTTACGCTATTGGTCAAATAAGTGTAGACTTTGAACACTTTCCAGAATGCTATTTTACAAAACTTTTAAGCCTATGCTCGCAGTAGATTTCTCCTTTTCGAATCAAGTTGGTTTAAGGCATACTAATACAGAATCACATGATCGTTGAAACTACACGCAAGTAGTGAGTGTTGATTTAAGAGTTAGATTTCAATCTCCAGAACAATCCAACAGAAAAAATAACGTCTTTTCACATGAGAAGATAAAATTAATTTTAAAAATGTTTAGCATAGATTAAGTGAGAATGACCACTCTAGTTACATCAGTTCATACGATCCTGTTATAGTGACAATCTTCCTTTTAAAAAAGTATCACTTATTTTTGTTCCTTGATTTTAAATGCCTTGAACATGGTAACAACAATAATAAACAATAGCCAGAAGGAATAGCTTATAGTCATTAAGATAAATGCATCATTTTATGAACAAGGTCTGGTAGTGTGATACAGACAAAGTGTACCAATGGAATATTATTCTCACAGTGGGAAACATTGGTATTTGTTGATGTTAACGTGTGAATACTATAGCCACAGTTTAATACTGCATTACTAATAGAATGCTATATATATGATATATATATTTGAACATTCTATTTCATGTCGTTTAACTTAAGTAAAAATATAACACGCTCAATGATTGGTTAAGAGAATATAAATTGTATATATAAATAATGGTTTCATCAATTGACGATACACCCTTACTTTTATGTCTTGCCTTCCGTTGTTACAATAGAACATACATATACACTGGATACTCACGTACAATGTGTACTAATCTAACTTAGTATTTTATTTTTATACAACAGACACCAATCAGGGGAATATTCATTTAAATGAGAGCACTACTTCCTTCACTTATCTAGGAAGCATCGTTTCAACTACAGGCGCACAGGGCACGGATGAAGTTGTCACGACTAGAATGTTACTCTGGAATCAGTATAAAAAAACAAAATTCAGATTTCCAAAACCAATGTTAAATCAGTCAGCAACTTGGCCTGTGCATCACAAAAAGCATTCCCAACAGGCTACTAAGGCCTTTATCAACATCTGTCTTTTGCAATTAATAGTGTTCTCTGAGCTGGTTGGTTTAGTTGCGCAGCTTTCGTCGTCCACCTTCTGGACAACATCTTCAGCGCAGTATTTGGCATAAAGTCAAATGATTTTAATTTTCCTTCATGAGTGATAGAATTGCGTCTCCCGGTAACCATCTCTACATATGTATTGATCATTTTCTATTGACTTGGATTTTAAACTTTCTGGTCACCTGATTTACTTTTTCATTAGTTGGTATATTTCGTTTATATTAACGTGTTTGTTAATTGCATTTTCGTTTGAGTACCAGGCCTCTAGGAATTCCCTGGCTGCACTTTTGGTGTTTCCTCTGTATAAGATTTTGACATTATCCCAATCAAATTGATGTCCATAAATGTCTATACGCATTGATACTATAGAACATATATCATGTCTTTTCACGGCTGATTTGTGTTCTTGGATTCTAATTCGAAGGGGACGCCCACTTCGGCCGATGTAATGCTTGTTACAGTTTATACAACTTATTTTGTAAATGGTGTTAATTTTATCCCCTTTTTCTGTTGGATCTTTCGGTTTGCATAATTTCGAATTAAGCGATTTGACTGGCTGACTTGTGTGCTACATCTATATCAAACGGTTTCGTTGTTCTAGCTGTTATTTCAGAGATATTTCTCATGTATGGTAGGATGAATTTCGTTCTGGTCTTTGATGATGGTTCTTTGTTGGTGTTTTGATTCGACTTTAAATACTTTTGATGAAATTTTGTGGATAACCATTCTTCTTGAAGACCGTTTGTAAGTATTTTTCTTCCATTCTTCTCAAATCTAGAGTGCCACAATGTGTTGCAACTCTTTTAAACAATGTCAGTATACAGTTTCTTTTGTGAGTAATTGGATTATTGCTAGTATAGTTGAGTATTTGATCTGTGTGTATGCGTTGATTTTCTATATACTTATGTTTCTAAATTTCCTGTGTTGGTTCTCCTCCTGATTAAGACATCTAAAATGGGATTTTGTTATCTAATTCTTCTTCTCTTGTGAACTTTATGTCTGTCTTTGCTGGCTCCAGATTGCAGATCAAATAGCCAGAAAGAACTGGCGACAAGAAACTGTGGGAATTAAGAACCTACTGTCTGAAGAAATATTCCAAAGAAAATGGAAACGGGTCGGATGCACGCTGAGGAGGCCGTCAAATGATATAGTGTATGCCAGGACCTCGATTGGAACCTGAATAGGAAATGATGAGGCGGAGTTTGAGTCCGAAGGCTACATGGAGATGGTGTGTGAGGAGATGAGAGCCTAAGGCGATCGTGGAACCAGCTGAAGACGACTGCGGGAAACAGGATGCAACAGGGATGTGCTGTTGAAGCCCTATGTTGCACTCGAAATTCAAAGGAACAGTAATAATAAAAATAATTGTTTACTCTTGTTTATAACAGGAAATCTCGATCATGAAAATGGTATAAATGAAGAATGTGTTCACATTTTCTTAAATACCATGCTTTGGTGTTTTCGACCGTTTAACCGGGCACACCGTTGACGAGTTCGACGGTAAACGAGCGAAACGGCCATCGGGTGTTCAGATCATTTCGATCTGCCTGGCAAACATTACTGATTAATGCTGTTGCTACACACCTTCTCATTTCAATCAATCAGTAGTATGTAGCTTTATGCTTTTACGCTTGTTCCCTTGATTACCATCCATGGTATCAAGCAGATCATACACTGTGATCTGAAAACTGTCGGTTTCTAAAGGAAACTACGATGAAATAATCACCTTGAACTGTGTGCGCAAACTGTGAACAAAAATTTCAAAACTACGAACTAATTTGCAAGTTGTGAAATTCGGTTTATAACATTTGACGGCATCATACAAAGTCATGTCAGTAAATTTATCCCCAGAGCACAGAATGATAAATATTTAATCAAAACAATAGTAATAATAATAACACTTACCAATGATAAGTGATAGTTTCTACTTGATCTGATGTAAATCTTAGCGCTAAAGAACGGTCGTAGGATCGACGACCAGTAGCAAAACCAATATGTGCAGGAAGGATAATTTGTGGTGGCGAGAGAACATCAATCAATTTTAAAAAAGGGGACTCTTTGAAGTAGAATTCTGGGAGAACATTAGGTAGTTTAAATGATCCATCGACTATATGACCAAAACAAAAATTAAAATTCATTGTAAAAACCAGCATAGCTCTAATCTATTCAACTACTGAATAAACATAGAAAATAAAAGCTACCAGATAATATATTGTGGATTTAAAGAGCGCATGAAAATAATTCAACAAATAGCTAGAATTATGTATTATTATTTAGGAGACAGTAATACGACCAGATGTGGGTCCCTGGTTCAGTGGCAGAATCCTCGCTAACCACGCACATCGTCTGGGTTCCAACACACTCTTAGGTCTCGCCTAGGCAGTAGTAAGCCCGGTAAAGAGGGGAGATTGGACGCGGGACTACCAACCCCACTATGCCACCGCTACAGAAACGTCAAAGCTCAAACTTATGTTGCACTTGGAACGCAAAGGAATAAGAAAATTAGACAAGATATATCCAATTTATGAAAAACAATCGTACTGTTTTAAACCTCCTAGCTTGATGCAAGTGTACGACTTAGAAAAATGACCTACTGGTTGCAAATCGGGTGCTTAAGAATGTAAGTGAAAACAGTCCGTAATTTTGAAAATTCAAACAAAATTAATGAGAGCCTAGGAAAACGCCCACGAATTCAGTGTCCATTAAGATATGCGTAAAACTTGGGCACGGTGGTGATACGTAATTCCATATTAGTTTGATTATTAGATATATCACACAGTGAAACAGTATTAATCATTGGATGACGACGTTTCCAACAGAATTTACTGCTCATAATCACATCAATTATAATCACACGGCTTCGAAACTTGAGTGTTATAGTTTTCTTTGTTCTCTCCTATTTGTCGTCGTTGGGGTAGTAGAATTTTCCAGATTTCTGGGACAGGCGATGAATCATTCCTCTTACATGTATTTGCAGTTGATTCGATAAACAAAGCTTCTGTTATTAATCTCTTCCTATACTCTGTGACATTAGATTTCAAAACTGTCATCTTACCCCCTTAATATTGTATGGTTGTGTGTAACTGCATGTAGTGAGTGCTACAGCTGAACTATTCTCTAGATTTCTCATCTTATTCGGGTCAGCTAATCTAGATTTTGTTAGGCTTTTAAGCTCGGCTAGTCTGACTGCACCCTTTCTACTACTTTGACTTATGTATTTGACCTAACAGTTATTGCAGGGTATTAGATAAACTGAGAAAACTATAAAACTCAAGTTTCGAAGTCATATGATTAAGAACAATAAATTGTGTTCAAAACGTCATCCAGTAAATAATACTGTTCCAGTGATCATAACTTGAGTCTAGTTATAACAAGCACAATTGTTAACCAAAATGAATACCAGGATGAATAATAGAAAAATGAGTAGCAAGACGGTCAAACATCTCCATATCTATGAAATAAGTGAACAACAAGAAGTATTTTTATGTTCATGGTAAGAAGAGTGCCGGTACAAACGTGCTCATCGAATTCTGTGAGATGCGCATCGAAGCATACTAAGTTAAGTCGCCTATATATCCAACTATTACGCTCTAAAGAAACGATAAACAAGGTAACAAATTACTTCTTTGTCAGTTTTGTCATGTCGAGCCCGTTTAAGCATATTCACATTCTACCTGATGGAGCTAAAGATAAACAGCCATTTAAAATAAGCAGCATGTGATAACCGTATCGCTAATACAACTTACAGCGAACACTTTTTTAGGTTATTCAAATACATAACCTCGCCTAGTTAACTAGCCGGTCCCATGTCCGGATAAATAGGGAATGTTGCCCGTGGGGCTAGCGACCCTACACCACAAAACCAATCAAACTACTACAGAAACTTCAACGCACAAGAAATATATTTTAAAAATACAAAGAATTCAAATAAAAACAATCTTATTCTTCGCTGGAATCCGAGAGGCGGCTGGCTGGTGAAGGCCTTCAGGAAGCCAGACAGCCAGCAAGCCGATGTGTCTTCCCTCGATGAAAGCGAGAATAAGATTGAGACATGGAATGTCCGTACAATGTAGGAGGCTGACTGGGAAGGCTGCCCGGGTAGCCAAAGAAATGAGAAGATATGGTATAGAAGTGTTGGGTATCTGCGGGATCATATAGTATGCATGTGGGCTGTCAAAATTGTCAACTGGAGAGTCAGTAATCTACTCCGGTCTGGTCACCCAGACGACAACCAGGAGCACACAGAAGCAGTGTGTCACCAATGACAGCCAGAGCGCTAATACGGTGGGAACCAATTTCATCCTGCAGGATAATGACAGCAGGGTTCAACTCAAAAGGCAGGAAGAAAGGTCACAATTATTCAATGCTACGTACAGTGCTAGAAACTACGCAGAACAATAGAAGAAGGATTTTTACAGACAACCTCAAACAGTAATGGACAACATCCCAAATGGTGACATCAAAATCCTCATGGACGATATGAATGCCAGTCGAACTGGGGGCAGATAATACAGGAAGAGAACTCATCATGGGTCGAGAGGCAAAATGAGTGAGAACGGAGGATTACTCGCAGACTTCCGGGCTTTCAGTCATTTGGTGGTCGGAGGGAGCGTGTACAAACCCAAGGATATACAAAAAGCAACATGGATTTCGCCTGATGGACACACCACAAACCAGATAGATTTCACCTCAATATTGTCCAAGGAAGTGGATACGCAGCCCTCTGGACACAAAGTCGAGAAGGGGAGCAGATGTGGGCTCAGACCATCATCTAGTGCAACGAACCGTCAAGGTGAAGCTGAAATCCTTCAGAACAACTGGAGACACGTCAATCAGGTTCACGTTCGACATTCAGAAAATGAAAGAGAAAATCACAAGGGATGCCTACCTTCACTACAGATCAAACCATAGTAGAGTTGGATACACTATGTGACATCACTGAGGAAACCTGTAATCGGAACTCTTTGAAGGTGATGCTGAAGGAAACGTGTACAACTGTTCTAGGAAGAAAGAAGAGGCAAGACACATCAAGGCATGGCTCTCAACGAACACCTACCTACCTGCAAGCTAATCGAGGAGAGGAGAGGAGGATGGTGAAAGAGAGGATGACTCAATGCAAAGATGGGTAACAGAAGGAGAAACTGGGTTCAATGTACACTCCACTGAAGGTAGATCATATGCTGATCAAATTGCGGTTCTACGCATCGTCATCACAAAAAAAGCACAGAACGGCAGTCAAACCTCACTTTACCTCAACGTCATCGACATAAAAAAGGCCTTCGACAGACATCGTTGACCGCTGAGTAATTTGAAAACTACTTCAACATTACGGCGTGCAGTGACCAAGTCTTTAACAACCTCATTCAACAGTTGGCTATATGACAATGCCACATGTCAGGTGACCCACAACGGAAAACTCAGAGAAGCCTGATTTGAAGTGCATACAGGAGTAAGACAAGCTGGTCGCTTTTTATCACCACCGATGATATTCTTAATTGTGGCGGAGTGGATTATACATCAGACGGTGCACAGGGAGCGAGGAGACATGAATGCACTGGACCACCGATAATAGGGCTCTAAAAGATCTGGATTTCACACGTGGATGATATACGTCTAATGTCACATAAACTAAGACCTATACCTACAGGCGAAAACCGACAAACTGGTTGAAGAAGCAGACAGAGAAGACAGGATTGTAGGTGAACATAGGGAAGACGGAGTTAACGAAGATAACAAACCAACAGCAACAACAACCAGCACCAATCACATCAATGGGAGAGGTTTGACAGAGCCTAATTTTTTCGGTTATCTAGGAGGCATCGTTTCGACCACATGCGGCCGGAAAGGATGAAAGTGTTAATCAGGCCGGTATTGGAAAGGCAAGATACGCCTTCATCAACCTGAAACCAGTTTGGAAATCTTCTACACTCAAGCATAAGGAACAAGATTCGCATTTCCAACACTAATGTGAAGTCAGTTAATGCTTCTATAGGGGGTCAGAAACTTGTACTGCGTGTCAGTCACGAAAAGGATTTCCAACAGGTTGCAGATTTTTAACATTAGCTGCTTTCGCTCCATACTGAAGGTCAAGTGGCCAGGAAGAATTGGCAACACGAAACTCTATCTGGCAATAAACCAACCGAGAGCTGATCGTTCAACAAATATGTAGAAGAAAATAATGATAGATCGGGAGTACGTTGAGGAGGCCATAGAATGACATCGCGCACCAGGTCATTGTTCGAGTGGAATCCCAATGGGGAGCGACGAGTGGGTCAACAGCGCAAGGATGACATGGAGGTCGTGTGAGAAAGAGATGAGAGTTTGGCCAAACGTTGACTCAGATGAAATACATATATATTTCCCACATACGACATTACATACAAATGGGAAATGTACTCTAGTAAAAAACTACTATGGAAATAAAGATGAAAGTGTAAAGTGATCTAGTCAAGTTTTATGGGGATTTTCAACTTGATAGTCACTTGTACTAAAAACCTTTAAAAATTACAATACAGCTCAGTCACATCACAATTTTTAATTAAATAATATACTCTTAAACAAGTCTTTTATTCTTCTAACTATAAGCTTTCAAAACTAAAAAACCTACATTTATAAGTTACAGGTAATAATAATAATACCATGCAATTAATTCATGATAATTCTAATGTGTAGGAATGACCATAAATCACCAAATTCCATGACGTATTTAATGCTTGTCATCTACGAGTACATGATGAGAACGCTAAATGGTCATGGTAGACAATGATGCAGACAAATTGTTTTTTGCGGAAAAAATACTTAAGAATTTGTATCACTTACCTCCAGCCAATGTTATAAGGGGGCCTATTTTGTAGGTGACACCAGCTTTATTTGATTCAGAACCTGATGTACACGCCGAAGTTTGAGAAGATACGAAAGACAAACCTTGATTGGATGGGTTAGGAATGGACGTAACAGCAATATGGGAACAAGAACTGCTATGAGAAGTTTCAAGAAGTTCAGATGATGAGTTTTTTGCTCCCTGGTGTTTTGGTAATAGTTTGTTGGCAGATGCCCATGCTGCCCAAACAGATGGAGTAATCATAGGATTCTGAGATATGGATGAATTATACGGAAACTGATATGATGAACTGGTCTGCTGGAATTGATGCTGCCTTTCGATTTCTGCATTCATGCTACTCGAGGACGACTGTTCAACAACACTTGTACTATTCTGACAAAGTTGTGAATTGGGAAGACTGGAATGTGACTGATCCTTTTGACAACTGAAATTCACATTTGTTCCTGTCGAACGCGGGTGTGACTGATGATTATTTACCGGTATTTCTGTAGGACGACTAGTAGTAGTAGTAGCAGCAGCAGTTAGGTACAGCCGAGAAGTAAGAGGATCATTTGTAGGCTGAGATGGGTTGGCTTTTCCATTTGCTTGTCGAGTAGGTTGAAGATCTAGAAAACAGATTATATTATGCCCATAAAATAAACTCAAGTAAATGAGGAAATATTAAAACTAGTAATAAATTTCCAAGCATAAATTTAATTACAAATTTTTAGGTAACACTCACTATCTCCTTGTCATAGTTAGAAGAGTATTCTGGTATATTGGTTTTAATTTAATGACTACTGATTTGATTTTTAACTTACACAGATTTCAGTTGAATGACTTGCTGTTCTTTCCACAAAGAGATTTTTCTGAGTATAATAAGGCCCATTCAGTCATCTTTATGCCTATTATGTATTTCCCTGCATTTTTTAGCCTTCGCTCCTCTTACTTCTACATTATTCCTACATTCAGTACAAATTTGTTTTTTGGAATACACTATCCTTATTCCACTTACTTCAATTTATTTTATTTTGAATATAAATACGATTATACAGCTTTTCAAAAATTAAACTTCGAAAAGAAAACTTCATTGACTGTCATGTCTTTTTTCTTTAGTTCAATAACCGCATGAATCATCGATAAAAAGAATGGACGAAATCAGCTGGACGAGAAACCGAGCAATGTTCCAAAGTGCCACACATTTTAACTTTTTTCGCGAAACACTTAATCAGAAAAAGCTAAGTGACCTATATCTTCAATGACACTAAAGAAAGAGGCCAGATTTAACTCTACTACATTTTGAGTCTTGATAAAACTGACAAACATTATCACCATGAGACCTATAATTACTGAATATAAGTAGTTTAAGTTGCCATACCTTATATCTCCACATCAAGTGCGTAGCAGAAATGAAGATCTTTGTGATACAAGGTAGAATAACTATAACAGATACAAAAGGCAATTCAGGAGATAGAGACCACCATAAGCATATCTATAATAGAGTTGGAAATCAGTAAAGTGTATACCTTTAGTAGATACCATAAGATACATATGCCGAACAAGAAAGTGCACCATAGATTGTGTATGTCTCCGAATGGAGAACCCATATTATAAGAAAATCTACATAACAGGTATCTCCTCCAGTGACATACATTCATTTAAAAAATCTCGGTTGACTATGTTTAGACGACTTAAGACCAGATGGAATCGAACACCGAAAGGCAATTTTGTATTCCAGAGTCTGGTTGAGTGATTGACGAAATGAGGGAATTGTACAAAAATGTATTAACTTTGGTTAACATACTTCGGAAAAAGATATAAAAGAGAAAAATAAATACACTAAAACTACAATGGACGAAGGCGTAAAGGAGAGGGAATAATTTGATTTGTGAAAATTTTCACGATTTATAAGACGATACGTGAATACACCTGCAGCAGAGTGGTTAATTTTGGTCCACTTCTAAAGGAATTCCCAAAAGCTGATTTTAAACATTTCAAGGTACCTGGGAAGTCTGATAGCAGGCGAATATTTGAGCGATGAACTCAGTCAGGCACCAGCAGTCATAAGTCAACTTCCCATTCAGATTGGGACTCAACAGTGACTGGGAACTATTTCAATTCCTCTGGTTCCTCTATTCACTACTTTACTAGTCTGCTTTCAAGTGAACTAATAGCTTGTCCTTCATGACTATGGTTACATAAGTATCTGATTTCTAGCCCAGTCTCTAAAAAAAAACAAAAAACATAATATTCCCACAATAAAACTTAGAATAGCACATTTAAGCGAACGGTACTGTTTTCAGTTAGATCTCATCAGGCTTAACTCTAATATGGAATTGTACAAAAGAGTGACAACTCCGTCACTAAAGAAGACTTCAATAAAGCTGGTAAAAGAGCATATTACTTAGTATAACTATACCGTATATTAAAGAGTGATTTAGAGATTGGCCTTTCAAACCTTTTCTTTCTTTCTTTCTCTCTCTCTCTCTCTCTCTAGGATGCATTTACGAGGTCACAACAAGGTGCTCAAATCTAGGTCGAATAAAATACATGTGAAATTTAGATTCTCTCACAGAGTGGTGAACCACTGGAACTCCTTACCTGATACAGTAGTAACAGCTTCATAGGTAAAGGCTTTCAAAGAGAAACTGGATCTCTGCAGAGACATATGTCGCGAGGATTAAAATAGGCAACAAAAGCCTTCTATCCTTATAATCTGAATCTATACTCTTCAAATACAAGATGAAATTTGTAAGTGCGCAATGAATTAATTTCTTTGCATCTTACACAAACCATCATTAACTTGACGTAAATCACAGTGTATGATTACAATAATATCCGGTTAACAATAGTTAACTACGTAAAGCAAGTAATAAACATATGCTTTTAAGCTAAATTCCTAAATAACAAAGCTATATTAGCTCGGATTTTTAGACGGGCGTAGCTTAAGACCAGTTGCTTTGTTATATATTAGAATATGACAAGTTAAGAATCACCAAGCAGTTGATGTAATTCAGATAGCCAATGATGAAAGTTCAGAAATTCAACATACGCGACACAGTGCCTAATATAAGTAATCAGTGCTCCAATTCGCTACACCACACACAAGTTGAAAGACTGAAAGTAAATGAGTAGAACCATTAGGAGTTACGAGACAGTATATGCAAACAATGATCTGCATTAGTTAGATACACCGACGGCATGCATAATAATGGGAATTCACATTCGACACTGCAACGTTTCAAACATCCATACAAGAGACTGATATCAAGAAACAGTGACAGTATAGTAACATACACTGGAAGAGGAAATGTTGACTCAAAACAGACAACTCAATAGTTATCAGTCGGATGCCCAACAATGCATGGTGAAAGTACACTACAACAGGTGAGGCATATGAAAATTCGGGATAGAAAACCAACTCCCCCAAAGATGTTCACAGTTACATAAACCTACCTTTTTTAAAGTACGTCGAGGTGTCGAATATATATATTTATATATATAGCAGTTACATGTCAGACAATCAAAATGAACTAAGCTGAACATAGTAACTTAGAAGCACTAGCACAAAACTGCGAATTGTAATTGAGCATGGTAAAGTAGTCAGTACCTTTTACATACTACTGCCTTGACATTTAGAATTTTTAAGTTGTGGACAGTGTTTCTTAAGAAACACGTGTTACATTAAGTGACTGTATTCAGTCCCTTAGTGTAACACGTTAATCGGATTATTGCTACCAGTAATAGGACTAATGAATAAATAGCTAGACACTGACAAAACTACCAGCCTGCTCAGTGAAACTGACATAAATATTTTTCATCCAACAAAGTCATACACAAAATATACTGCTAAACTCACTGTTTGTACTGTACATCCGTTTATTTAGTTCTATGAGGGCAACAAGGAATTCTGTTGAGGGCTCTTGATCCAAATATGCAATAAGTCTCAGTTGTATATCCTGTTTTAAGCCTCCACGTGGAAGATTTGTGAGCTTGATTAGCCTATCAAGATCTGATCTCCGACACCTTAGGATGCACGCCTAAATGTGAAATTGTTATTACAAATGCGAGCCTACCTTTAGATCCTGAAGACTACGCATGTCACGCATAAGAAATCCTTTAAACCGGCTTTATTTACACTATTTGAGGGAAATTCAAGGTATCCTATACATAAAATATTACAGAGAAGCCACTCTAGATAAATCCCAATGACTGTAAGTATCGAGTTCTTTGCTTGTGGCGCCTCAGGATCTGCCGTCAACATCCAATATCTTCTCTGTGGGCTAGTGCATACCGAATCGATTTCTTTGTGCTGACTTCTTGGTCGTAAAGGCTCTTCATCTTCGGGAAACTTCTGCGTAGTATGCCGCGCCGCTAGCTGCCTTGAATAACTCTGAAAAGATAAGTGTGAGGATTGGACATACGTGATTTACTGTATGAGGCATGTGAAGATTGTGTAAGTGCTATGAGTGAAGTTGAGCCTTTCATACGTTGGTGGTTTGGCAAAGCTGAAAAGCAAATAATATTTGCAACAGTAATCGAAATAATCAGCATTTATTAAGTGAATATGGGACTAAAGACGTAGAAGCATATGGAGGAATTGGATAAATATAAATACTTTTAAAAATAAAATATATATAAAAAGATTTTACACTGATTGTTTGCACGTGGTAAGGCTGTCTACTGCTGTTGAGATTAATATTCATGTAACGTAAGTATATTACGGCTGTCAATGCAGTTGAAGATTGAACGATCAATTCATGGTTGTTTGCTCAAAACCAACTTCCCCAATTTTCGCGGAGGCATCAATACGACAGTCATCGTCTCATCGGTCGCTGTTCAGAAAGAAGTCAGCAATAAACCGTCAGAAGTAATATTGTGATTTATTATTGTAATATTTGTTCACAGACCTTAGTCATACGTCATTTATATGTTGGTGTAACAATAAAGAATCCTCGAGACAACAATTGGTGTTTTGGTTTTTGCGTCCGTTATTACTAAGCGTTTCTGAAAAACTACAAGGAACAGCGTGAGCCCGAGCGTAGCAAGAGCTGGGCATTAACGGTTTATGAGACGTGGCTGACAGTTTCTGATGGAAGAAAAAGATTCTGGCCGATTCAGACAGTTGGTGAAAGTTTGGATAGTCGCCGTTCATCTTTCCTGGAGCCGGTCAAGTCCTCTTTGAACAAGCAATATCTGGAACGTTTTTGGAGTTGGGTCAAGTTCAACAATGCCTGGGTCAAAGAAGGGACAGAGTGTCTTGGATGCAAACAGGAAAGTAAGTCATGGTGACTTGTCTGTTAATTGTAACGATGTGTCTGATGTTAAGTATGACATGGTCGATGTTACTGTTTCGCCGTTCAGGGATAATAGGAACATCAAACTCCCTAAATTTGAACCACGATGTTTTGATGGAAACCCGGCTGATTATTTACAATTTGTAAAGGAGTTTGAGATCATGTTGAGTGGTTTTTTATTAAATGATGAATTGAAGTTAATGTATTTGATGAGATGTTGCACTGGAGATGCTTCAAGAGCTATACAGTGCTGTAAGCTCATGCCCCCTAATGAGGGATACGCTGAGGCTATGAGCATATTACGTCAAAGGTTTGGAAGACCTTCGATGATTGTAAGGAACGTATACGAAGCTGTCAAAGGTAACGGCAGTCAACTTCGAGATGACTCCAAGGCACTTACTGAGTTTTTGGATAATTTGCTAATTTACAAGAATGCAATGATTTCGATGAATCGAATGAGTGACCTCAACTCGAGTTTTATACTAGAAGTAATAGCAAGACGCCTACCTACTCGACTGCAAAGGAAGTGGGTGAAGATAAGCTCCCGTATGGAGGATGAGGGTATCGAGCCAAAATTTGATGATATCCTGAAACTAGTAAAAGATAGTGTCAATCAATCGATGAGCAAGTTCGCCAGTCTATTACATCTCACCCCTAGAATAGAGCAGTCTGAGAGTAAAATGCAATCATTGATGACGAATAGGCCTCAGAGAGGTGGATATCGAGAAAGCTCCATGATGTCTAGTAATGCATATAGACCTAGTGAGTGTAACAGGTTTCGTAGTACATCCTCAACTGATAGGTTACAAGATGCAAGACAAACACGGTTGTGTTTTACACGTTTGCAAGAGGTGCATACAGAAGTGAACTGTGAACCAGTGAGCAAGTTCAGTGATAAGCTAAATGTAAACTCCAGACCTGACTCCGAATTGTGTGACGATAACGGTGCGGTGAAGAAGTCTGTAGTTGCAACTGGTAAGCCGTTGTTGAATAAAGTGTCACAGAATAGAGTTGCTGCTTCAGAGTGCAGTTCTGACCCTACAAGTTTACAAGGTATTACTAGTCAGAGTGAAGTTATAAAACCTTTTAGGATTTGCGAGGAGGAACCAAAATTGTCTACTTCTGTTATTAAAGAGTTTGAAAATGATGAAGTTGACGGTAAAGTGAATATTCGTGATAATGATCATGATACTTCACAGTTGTCTTTGGTTGATCATGATGAGATGAGGGATATGCCTACTACTGCTAAGTTAAATAAAGGTTCTGTACAACTTGAACGTGAAGTAGAATTAAATGCAGATGCAGTTCCAGAAGGCATGCATACTTGTGAGACAGTCAGTGTAATTGATCAGCATGTAGCCCACCTATCATCAGATGCTATTGCTAAACCTGAGCTGATAGTAAAAGACAGCAGTGGTGGTGGTCTTGCAGTTAGAGAATTTTCTGAAAGCCGAACAAGAACAGCTTCTGATCCACCGCTAAGTTCATCAACTTGTGTCACTCAGTCGTCGTTGGTGCTGTCATCCACAATGAAAAAGACGCCCATCAACTCAAGTATCTTGTGCAATGACTATGCTAGTATCAGTTCGTTTGAAAGGACGAATATCAATGGTCAGTTTAGTGTGGATAAGCCAAGTGTAAAGGAGAGAGTAATTGTTAAATTGACTTGCACGAATAAAGGCATTTCTAGTTTCAAGTTACTATTTGAATGTTATTATCTTTGGTGTAAATTACTCTGTTTCTATACTTGGTTGATGAGATATGTCGTGTGTTTGTTGGTCATCTATATTCTACGATACAATGACATGGGCGTGTTGCCGTTCAGATTTGAGGATATAGCTCATAGAAGGAAATCAGCAAATGAACTCTGCGACGATTTTCCAACCTAGGGCGTCAACCTGAGAAGGGTTGTAGGCGTACTGGTGTAAGTCCTACAGTTCTTCAAAGGGTAGCGCATCAATGAGCAGTCCAATGTGCTTGGTGTGTGATTTTGTACATATGTTCATATTGTATATACTGAATTGATATCATCTGTCATCTAGCTGTTGGTAATTCTGTTTGTGTCCGGACGACTTCCACTTGGATCATCAACCTGAGAAGGAATGTAGGCGTACTGCTGTAAGTCCTACAGTTCTTCAAGGGTAGTTTGTCGTGTCAGAATCCACAACATTTGATGTGTTGATTGTACATATGTTTGTGTTAAATAATTGTGTGAGTTCCAATTGATGTAATTGTTGGTTAATCTTGTTTGTGTCCGGACATTCCACAACTTACAATCGTCAACCTGAGAAGGGTTGTAGGCGTACTGGTGTAAGTCCTGCAATTCTTCGAAGGAATTCCACCAAGACATGAACTGCGAGTTTGTGTGTACTGTTTGTATATACGTGTGGTGTGTCATATCAATTTGTGATTTTGGATTAATTGTGTTTACTTGTTGTTATCCTACCTTGTTTTTATTGCATAATTTTGTTAAAATTTTCGTCGTGATTACTTCTGAAGTTGTTTCGAGTCTTCTACATCCGTGAATGAATTGATTGATGTTAAGGACAGCAGATGGGTCGTATACGCCGGGGAGGCTATTGCTGAGAATGAAATGCATACGGAGATAATTGTTAGGTGTGGTCCCACACGCCGGGGAGGAAGAGTGTAAACGACTGAGGCTCGCATACGTCATCGTTACTAGAATTGAGGCAGAATGAGTGACAAGCGATTTCAGTGGTAATTGGTAATGAGTAGATAAGAGGATGTGCGTGGAGTATCATGAGGTGGTGCTATGGTCACGTTGCATTCTGCAAGAGTCATTCTAGCAAGTGGCGATTGTGTTGCAAGATGTCAAGAGGATGCCTTTAACTGGAAGGCGCAGGTCGTCATTGATGTGTGAGATTGTGCTGTGGGTATGCTTGTGGTGTGTTGGCTTTTCTGTTTGTTTTCCATTTCAGCTCTGTCCGTGTGACCCAGGTTCTCGCAATGGAATCCAAGTCAACGTGCATTGGTCGTGATGGAAAAAAGGGATGGATCCCTTTTTTGCCGGGGAGTGTCAATGGAGTTGAAGATTGAACGATCAATTCATGGTTGTTTGCTCAAAACCAACTTCCCCAATTTTCGCGGAGGCATCAATACGACAGTCATCGTCTCATCGGTCGCTGTTCAGAAAGAAGTCAGCAATAAACCGTCAGAAGTAATATTGTGATTTATTATTGTAATATTTGTTCAGAGACCTTAGTCATACGTCATTTATATGTTGGTGTAACAATAAAGAATCCTCGAGTCAACAATTGGTGTTTTGGTTTTTGCGTCCGTTATTACTAAGCGTTTCTGAAAAACTACAAGGAACAGCGTGAGCCCGAGTGTAGCAAGAGCTGGGCATTAACGGTTTACGAGTCGTGGCTGACAACGCCTGTGAACCTGTAGAGTACATTCCAGACTAATTTTGACAAACTCTGATGGTACTGTGTGATGTAACTACTTTTAACGAACCGATGATGCCTGTAAACCGGCATCGTGATTGTACTATACGGTGATAGCAAACATAATTAATACTCGTCAACTGCCTTTTGGTCCCCCTCTAGCCGGACTATGACACTGCAGTTTTCGTCTCATCTCTTACGCAGCTTTGCTGAAATTTGTTGGTGAGTCCATCTGCCTCGCCTTTATGTGAGAATAAACAGATTATCATAATTTTTTCCGAAGTTCAGTTTGGACACTTTGATGACGCCATTTGTCATTCCGTTTTACCCCACTAAGTGACTTAGGCATGAAGACATGTTTTAACCTAAATTTGATACCTCCTTATGCTTCGAGGTTGGCTTTTT